GGATGTAGGGGGATGTAGGGGTCTGGAGGATGTAGGAGTCTGGGGGATGGAGGGGTCTGGGGGATGTAGGGATCTGGGGGATGTAGGGGTCTGGGGGATGTGGGGGTCTGGGGGATGGAGGGGTCTGGGGGATGTAGGGGTCTGGGGGATGTAGGGGTCTGGGGGATGTAGGGGGTCTGGGGGATGTAGGGGTCTGGGGGATGGAGGGGTCTGGGGGATGTAGGTGTCTGGGGGATGTAGGGGGTCTGGGGGATGTAGGGGTCTGGGGGATGTAGGGGGTCTGGAGGATGTAGGGGTCTGGAGGATGGAGGGGGTCTGGGGGATGTAGGGGTCTGGGGGATGTAGGGGGTCTGGGGGATGTAGGGGTCTGGGGGATGGAGGGGGTCTGGGGGATGGAGGGGTCTGGGGGATGTAGGTGTCTGGGGGATGTAGGGGGTCTGGGGGATGTAGGGGTCTGGGGGATGTAGGGGGTCTGGGGGATGTAGGGGTCTGGGGGATGTAGGGGTCTGGGGGATGGAGGGGTCTGGGGGATGTAGGGGTCTGGGGGATGGAGGGGTCTGGGGGATGGAGGGGTCTGGGGGATGTAGGGGTCTGGGGGATGGAGGGGTCTGGAGGATGGAGGGGTCTGGAGGATGTAGGGGTCTGGGGGATGTAGGGGTCTGGAGGATGTAGGGGTCTGGGGGATGTAGGGGTCTGGGGGATGGAGGGGTCTGGAGGTTGTAGGGGTCTGGAGGATGGAGGGGGTATGGGGGATGGAGGGGTCTGGAGGATGTAGGGGTCTGGGGGATGTAGGGGTCTGGGGGATGTAGGGGGTATGGGGGATGTAGGGGTCTGGGGGATGTAGGGGTCTGGAGGATGTAGGGGTCTGGGGGATGTAGGGGTCTGGGGGATGGAGGGGTCTGGGGGATGTAGGGGGTCTGGAGGATGTAGGGGTCTGGGGGATGTAGGGGTCTGGGGGATGGAGGGGTCTGGGGGATGTAGGGGGTCTGGAGGATGTAGGGGTCTGGAGGATGGAGGGAGTCTGGGGGATGTAGGGATCTGGGGGATGTAGGGGTCTGGGGGATGTGGGGGTCTGGAGGATGTATGGGGGATGTAGGGGTCTGGAGGATGTAGAGATTCTGGGGGATGTAGGGGTCTGGGGGATGTGGGGGTCTGGAGGATGTAGGGGTCTGGGGGATGTAGGGGTCTGGGGGATGTGGGGGTCTGGGGGATGTAGGGGTCTGGAGGATGTAGGGGTCTGGGGGATGTAGGGGTCTGGGGGATGGAGGGGTCTGGGGATGTAGGGGGTCTGGAGGATGTAGGGGTCTGGGGGATGTAGGGGTCTGGGGGATGGAGGGATCTGGGGGATGTAGGGGTCTGGGGGATGTAGGGGGTCTGGGGGATGTAGGGGTCTGGAGGATGTAGAGATTCTGGGGGTTGTAGGGATCTGGGGGATGTAGGGGTCTGGAGGATGTAGGGGTCTGGAGGATGTAGGGATCTGGAGGATGTAGGGGGTCTGGAGGATATAGGGTCTGGAGGATGTAGAGATTCTGGGGGTTGTAGGGATCTGGGGGATGTAGGGGTCTGGGGGATGTAGGGGGTCTGGAGGATGTAGGGGTCTGGGGGATGTAGGGGGTATGGGGGATGTGGGGGTCTGGAGGATGTAGGGGTCTGGAGGATGTAGGGGGTATGGGGGATGTAGGGAGTCTGTGGGATGTAGGGGGTCTGGAGGTTCTTGATGCTATTTTGGTGTCAGAACGACTTGCTCAGCCCAGCTCAGCAAGAGTTGAGCTGTTTAGTTGTAACTTGGTAAAACAGCAGACCCTGACAAAGGTCACATGGATGTTGCCTCCCCCAAGTTTTACTGCTGTTGTTGTTGTCGCTGAGGTAAGTTGTAGATATTTGTAGCTGTTTATTTAGTGAGCTTACACTCCAGCACTAACTTGTCACCATAGTTGTAGTACTTAGTGTAACAAGTTGTAGCTGACAAGATGCCCACGTCTGTTGATGATGTAAGTGACTGTGACCGGGTCGATCCCAGGACTGTTAGTCTGAGCATGAGCCTCAGCAGGGGGAGCCTCAGCAGGGTCACAACAAGTCCAAAAACAGTTAGAATCTAACTCATTCATCAAGCCACACTGTATACTAGCCGTGTCGAACCAAAGATGTCAACCTCTAGAAAATATATCTAGTCACATTTCTATTCATTATTCTAGTAATCAGTAAGGAAACTTTATTGTAAGAACATTTGTGAAACTATTACATTTTTAAAAACATTTCCATGATATTTTCAGAAAAGTGCAGAGCACTGTGTTGATGTTGTAGTTATTCTTTCTTCCCAGTATGCGGTTTGTTTCTTTGCTTCTCACATTCATTGATGTTAGTAAATCCATCTCATACTGAACCAATGAAGATCCGGGATAGAACAGGTCTTCAGCAACCCATGCTTGTCGTAAGAGGCGACTTACAGGATCAGGTGGTCAGGATCGCTGACTTGGTTGATGCATGTCATCGCATCCCAATTGCGTGGAACGATGCTCACGATGTCAATCACTGGATTGTCTGGTCCAGACTTGATTATTTACAGACCGTTGTCATATAGCTGGAATATTGCTGAGTGCGGCATTAAACAACAAATAAACAAAGAAACATCTCATACTGCAAGGCGTGCAACCCTCCAGTTCAGGCAACCAGTTGATGTGGAGGAGCAACAGCAGCATCTCCATCTACTCCCTGCTTATGTTCCTATGCTACATGCAGCATCTCCATCTGCTCCTTGCTTATGTTCCAATGCTACATGCAGCATCTCCATCTACTCCTTGCTTATGTTCCAATGCTACATGCAGCATCTCCATCTACTCCTTGCTTATGTTCCAATACTACATGCAGCATCTCCATCTGCTCCTTGCTTATGTTCCAATGCTACATGCAGCATCTCCATCTACTCCTTGCTTATGTTCCAATGCTACATGCAGCATCTCCATCTACTCCTTGCTTATGTTCCAATGCTACATGCAGCATCTCCATCTACTCCTTGCTTATGTTCCTATGCTACATGCAGCATCTCCATCTACTCCTTGCTTATGTTCCAATGCTACATGCAGCATCTCCATCTACTCCTTGCTTATGTTCCTATGCTACATGCAGCATCTCCATCTACTCCCTGCTTATGTTCCAATGCTACATGCAGCATCTCCATCTACTCCTTGCTTATGTTCCAATGCTACATGCAGGAGCTCCTTCCTGCTCTGTAGCCTCACGGAGGTCACCAAGGTCACAGGGTCACCAAGGTCACAGAGTCGCTATTGTGTAGAACTGTAGACAATATACTGATGGAAACAAATAAGGGAACAGTGAAAAATGTAGGGAAATAAACTTTACCATCAGTACATTTGAAATAGCTCACACACAAATGTCAGAATCAGATGTTGAGTTGTGTTTGTGTGCATTGTTTCCAACTTTTATTTGGCAGACAAAAACCAATGATAGCATATCATGTCACTGTGCCTTAAACTAAGTGTTCCCTTATTTATTTGCATCAGTATATATCACAAACACATCCAGAAATCAGGAAGAAGCAAACTGGTACATATTGTATTCAGGGGCTGGATTGATAATGATAATGTTAGTGTCAGGTAGGGCTGGGCAGGTAACTTGGGTACTCGGATCAGGTGGGTACTGAGAAGGACCCGGGTACCCACAGGACAAGGTGCGTGGTTAGTCACATTCTGTTTAATGACAAAAATTATGTAGAACTCCATGGCTAAACTACAAGTCACTAATATTCTGACTATGCACCCATTCTTTCTGACTTTTATATGTTTGAATGATGATAAAGCTTCAGTCAACTTCAGCGTATACATAATCAGATATGATTTATATGTGCTTCGAAATACATTTTGCCAGGGCTGCAGTCAAACTCTTTCCAGTCGGACATTTTCTACCTACTCTAGAGACCGTGTAATAGGGGAGTGGGTACCCTGGGTAGTAAATTTGGACTCTTCCCAGCCCCGAGTCTGGCCAAGTGCTGGTCAGAAGCTTATAAGAGTATAGGACATGTGACAAGGCTGACCTCAGTTTCATTTCATTTTGAATCCTGTGGGATATCAAGGTTATCATACAGCACATTGTGAACAATACGTAGAGTAACACTTTAACCAAGTCCCTATCTCAGCAACTCATCATACAACTCACTCACAGCTCACCACTTGATGAGACAGCACCTAGTGTTTCAGACCTTACAGAATTTAACCCTCAACCTCCAATATTGACGGGGGCATGGGTGGCCCAGGCATTTAAGGCACCGGGATTCGCTGTGCAGTTACATCCCTTGGGCACGCCAGAAACCTATGATTGTGGGTTCGAATCCTGGTTTGCCCCAATTATGTTTCTAGGTTTGTCAACACATACCCGTGCTCGTGGGTTTCCCACATTAAGCTGACACACGTGATATAGCTGGAATACTGTTAAAAGCGGCTTTAAACCAAACTCACACAAATATTGGCTGTACGTGTTGTCATGGTTACCCAGAATGTTGCTGCAGAATCACTAAGAATTTACTTCACCCCAAGATGCTGTGAATATGTAACTAACACACTGTTTGTCACCGAATGTTTGGACATGTTGCCCAAATACGACCAAGTTAAGATAAACAGGAGTCTACTTCAGCTTTCCATCCTCTGAGTTTCAGAACCAAATCTAATTTTCCAGTTTAATATTCAATATTATAATAGTCACAGTAGTTAATGCAAATGCATGTTTTAGACACTAAGGCCTTGAAGTGAACTTTCTGGTAAGTTGTGTATGTTAGTATCATAACTGCATGTTTCTTTAAATATCAGATCGATAAGGTATAAAGATAAGGTTTTATCCAGGAACTATTGAATGATGAATGATGATGAAGAGAGGACAGGTTGAAGGTCTTTTTCTTAAGATTTGCTTTCAGCAAGCTGTTGTCTCATTTAGAAAGTTTTTATCGAGAATGTGATGATTTTTAATAGTCCCTGTGTATCTGTTTTCAGAATCCCTCCAATCAAGACTCCCACAAGTTCATCAAGCAAAGGAAGCAAATCTCGGTCTTCGGGGGCTGTGAGTCATCGTGAAGCAGGGTCAAGGTTATCACACAATTCCTCCACATCATCCAATCACAGGTCAAGGTCAACCATTGGCCTGGTCAAACACCAGAAGCGATCAGTGGGGGACATATCCGTGGCTGACTCAAGTTCTGAAACTGATTCATCATCAGACTCATCCGACACCAACTAGACGACCCAGATGCATTGTCTGTCTGTGTGTCTGTTTGATGAATCAACAGACACGACTTTTCTGGAGTGTTTAGATACAACCATCTGTCCGACGCTCAAGACCACCGTAAAACTAATCTCATAATATCCTCAATACATCATCTGGACTTCATCTTCCTGAGTCAAGGGAGTTAGTTAACTGACTATGAAAGTCCAGCTTCCACCCTTGCTGAACTAGGCTGGAATTCTGGGGTTACATTTAGGCCAATCAAAATTGTGTAACAAACTAGACATCTGGTTCGTAAACAACATGGATTACAACTGGTAGATTTCGGCCTACTGAAGGATTTGCAAATCTTTTCATGTTTGTAATCAAGGTGCTCAAGTGATTTGATGCTCTTAGCCGGGTAAGGCCTGTTATATTACAATATAGATCTTGATTAGCGATCAGATCGTCTTGACAGACACCACCATTTTGTTTGAAGCAAATTCAAGTGATGTAAGAGGAGGGACATGGCTCGTAATTTTCACTACAATCAAGCCTAGAAATTTCAGCCTTGTTCGGCAAGGATGGAAATGGGACTTTTATAATGCCCTTGCCTTGGGAAGATGTTCAGGACTTCTTCTTTGCTGTAAATGTATTGTAAATTTATGACCAAAGTTTGCCATTGATGCTGTGTTGTTATTTAAGTTTGTTTGTTGGTGATAAGTGTGTGTAATGTCGTATTTTCCAGGTAACTAATTGCTGATCTTCAGGGATATCAGATTAGAAAGTGTTTTGTTTGTTGTTATAATGCAGCTTACACCGATGACTGAGCATCTGTACCAAGGTTTTGATTGATGAGGCTGAGAAATAAACAGTTGGTTGTCATCAGCTGCTTCTGGAGACATGGCATGAGTAGACAGACACCTGTAAACAGGTGTGCAATAGGGAGATGGAGGTACAGTTAGTCTAAGCCTTACACTTATTGTATGTGATGCTGCAGCTGTGTGACAACCAACATTTTACTTACTTTAGGGAGTTTGTGTTTAATTATGCTGAACATGTCTCATATTGAATGGATCCACGCATATGTGTGGCATCACATCATGTTACAGATGGGTCGACCAGTCAGGCTCGCTAACTTACTTGATGCATGTATAGCTGGAATATTGCTGAGTGCTGCGTTAAACAATCAACAAAATACTGTGCGGTCTGTGATCCATGTTTTGGAGTGGACTTATGTACATCTTCTAAGACTTGGAGAACATAAGACAAACACAAAGGTTGTATAGTTTGTATTTATTCTTTAAGGCAACAGCAGGTAGGTCTAATACCCTTTAGCAAACTTGTGATGCAAGCACATTTTGACATGCAAGTCAATAGCTGGGGAGTCCTGGTAATCCTCAGGCACAATAATCAGGGTCTCCCTTCACCTAAATGGTGTCCCCCGCCGTGATATTGCTGGAATATTGCTAAAAGCGGCGTAAAACCTCACTCACTCACTCCTTCTCCTAAATGTACACAGGGAGTGGAATACATTGCAAAAGGCTGTGAAACAGTTTAAGAAGAGTTGTAGATAATATACAGGATATTGAATGACCTTTCTGTCTAATAAAATGACAGTTGGTTACCATGCAAAACTAATAAATAATCAGAAGCTGCTTCATTAAATATCCAGATTCCACTAAAGACCTTCACCTTGTCACAGTTTACTCGTCACATACATTCACACATTCTTACTGTCTGAGTTGATATTTCAAAAAAACAAAATATATATATATAAAAAAACAACATAAATTTCAGCTTGAGACAAAGGTATGACCCACTCTGAGCCTTCTGTTGTGTGAGTGTGGTTCGACGACACATCCTCAGTATTGCAGCTATTCACAGCTACTTCTGTTGTTCAAAGCGCACATAATTCTAAGTGCACGTATTTTAGTATTTACACAAGGAATGAACAGGTACAGAGATCTGTGAAGGCTGAGCAACTGACAGGTGTCCGTGAGACATGAGATCGTGCAGGACACATGGCCGGCCACACCCAGTGGCATGCTGTTGAGCCTCTCTGATGAAGCAAGAACCTACATCCAGGGATACGACAACACTTCACATCCATTATGGAATCTCATAACCGACAACACTCTGCTGTTTGTTTGTTGTTTAACGCCGCTCTCAGCAATATTCCAGCTGTATGACGTCAGTCTATAAATAAACGAGGCAAGACCAGTCAATCCAGTGTTTGAAATCATAAGCATTGATCCATGCATAAACCAATTCAGCGAGCCTGACCACCTGATCCCGTTAGTCGCCTTTCATGGCAAGCATGGGTTGCAGAAGACCTATTCTTTCACGGATCACTGTTATTGTACTGGAGTGAGTTAATGCTTTACATCACATCGGCAATATTTCAGCCATATTGTGTATTATACTGGAACTGAAGTGATTTTGTGATACTACAAACAGGAATTTCCGAGATGTCGTTGAGTTACTGTTAATATAATCCGCAGGAAATGAAAAGGGACCTGTGAAAGAATGAAAGGTGACATCTACTGGATATTGCAATCTGCCCATCACCTCACTGATACAAGCGATTCCATGATGACAAAGACAAATAGTCAACTGATACACATGATACACACATAACAGTGATATGATACAGACGTGATACAATGAAGTGAAATGACACTGAAGTGAAAGATAAGTTAATCTTGATGGATGTCGGTCGGTCCTCTGATGCTGGTGTCATGCAGCTAGTGCTGCCACCTGCCACGCCCACTGAGACTGGACATGGACTTGCTCCTCATCCGGGACCTGCCAACAGATAGAAAACGTCACTGTAGTTACTGACGGGGGTTTAACTCTGCTTTTAACACTATTTCAGTTAGATTTCAGTTAGATTTCAGTTAGAACTCCGCATGACAGATTAATGTGGATACAAGTGTCATGATGGAGATCTTACACATCAACGCCTCGGTGAAACCCATTGATACCTCAGTGAAACCCATCAACGTCTGTTGATAGACAAAGTATCAGGGCAAGTCTGGGATTAAAATTCACAACATCAGTGTAACCTGCAAATAGTATTTGACTGCAGATCTTGTTGCTATAGTGACACACGCTTCGCAATTCACTGGTTTCTGAGGAAAGGATGGTTACAGTGGGTGCATTTTCAGAGAATTTTGGAGCATGGTTAAAGTGCAAAGATCAAATAGAGGTCAACATTGATAATATCACAAAAAAAACAACACTAAAAACCACATTCCATTTCACTCTGACAACAAATGGCCAGGTAAGTGGCCTAGAAGCCCTAGATTCCAGTAGTGCAGAGATCAAATCGAAGTCACAACTTAGAATATCCCACAACCAGTATGTTCAGCCCCAATACTGACTACACCTACAAAATTTCCTTACAATGTCCATCAATAGAAAATCTGATTTGAACCCCTGAACAGAAGTATGTGAAGTTTCAGCTTCATCGGTCCAGTGTTCTCTGAGGAGATGAGGTTTACGATGGAGGACTGACAAACAAGCCATGAGGTAAGCTCACTAGACTTTCTGTCATGTGATCGAAAAAACACAATGTCCTGCAAACAAAAGAAAGGATAGGGGCAACTGCTGGTGTTACACGTTTACTTACAGCGACTTGTTGGCTGTAGTTGACTGCATGTGGGAGTCCGGGGCAGCCACTCTACGTGGAGGGGCGGCGGTAGAATGGGGGGCTTCCTCCTTCACACGGCCGAACAGGTGACGAGTCCTCTGAGTGGCAGCCTTCGTGGGCCTCATGTAGCTGGGCTTGGACAGTCCTGTAGAACCAGGGGTATACTGACATGTAGACACACAGTGATACTCGACATACTCAATGCTGGAGAGACACTATATCAATACTAGCTAGTTCCTCATGCATGTTCAATTCTATCTGTCAACACAATGCTTCCCTCCTACTTACTGACCCATGAAGATCCACAGTAGAATAGGTCTTCAGCAATGCATGCATGTCGTAAGAGGCAACTAATGGGATCGGGTGGTCAGACTCGCTGACATGGTTGAAGCATGTCATCGTATCCCAATTGCGTGGATAGATGCTCGTGATGTCAGTTACTTGATTGTCTGGCCCAGACCACAGTCATATAGCTGGAATATTGCGGAGTGCAGAATTAAACAACCGAAAAAGAAAAAATAATACTTACTTGGAGCAGACCTGTTGGCCACTGACGGCAGACCAAACTGACTTAGGTTCCGAGCCGTTTCCTCAGACTTGTGTGTTGCCTTGTACACCCCACTCTCTGGCGGAATGTACCCTGGCACGCTTCTGCAACTGGGGGAACAAATCAAGGGAATGAGGGGTCAGTGAGTGTGTGGAGGAATGAACACAGCTGTATTCATAATGGTGGTGGAATGTGATAATGAAGTTGATCATCCACACTGTCTTCTCATTAACTCAATGAAATTATGGATACAGGGCCCCGTTCCACAAAGCGATCTTAGAGCTACGACTGTCGTAAGCCTATGCTAAAGAATGGGAGTTACGATCATCTTAGCGCTACGAACGCTTTGTGGAACGGGCCCCTGGTGTGTCAATGAAAATCAACATAGCTCACCTGGCAATCGACTGGTACGGGGACAGACATATTAATGACAACCAAAATAGCTTACCTGGCAATCGGATTGCACAGAGCAGTTGTGTTAATGACAAATGACATAGCTCACCTGACAATCAGCTGTGAGACAGCGTGTATAGCTTACCTGCTTATTAGCTGCTGCGGAGAGACGTGTATTAATGTCACAAAATATAGTTCACCTGGCCAGTGTCTGGTACAGAAACACGGGTATATTAATGACAAACAACATAGCTCACCTGGCAATGAGCTGGTATAGGCGTGTTAATGACAACTTAACTTGCCTTTCAATTGGAGGTCAAGAGGAAGACAATGATGTATTAATGACAACTAACATAGCTCACCTGGCACTAGGGAGGTATGGTGACGACACAGGTGTGTTGCTGTCAAGGGTCTTCAGCCTCAGCCTCACCGGTGATGGAGTCTTCAGCACATCAGCATAACTCTTCATCTCCGGCCTGTCTGGGGTCTGCTGGCACTCCCCACCGAATGTGATGGACCGGACCACACTGTTCTTCCTGTGATCTTCGTTTTCCTTGTCCACGTGTTGGCCCGGGGTACTCTTGGTCACCGTGCTGGAGCCACTGAGGCACACCTGGGATTTGGTGATCGTGGCTGAACCATAAAGATTGGTCTGACATTTTGTTATTGTGCTGGAACCTTTCAGATTGACAGGGTTACTCCTTGTGGCCGTGTTACACTGAGTGGAGCCCTGTGTCTGTAGAACAGCACTGACCTGAGGCTCTGACGGCCCCAAGGGTTGGGAGCTCAGATAGGCCTGCACAGATGGGGGCACGGGGATGGGGGATGCACAGAGGGTGGGGACAGGGGAGGGTTTCCTTGGGAGACACGATGTCCTCCGGAAGGGGCTGCTCTGGTCCAGCGAGTCCACAGTCTGCCTGACCACAGTACTCCGACTCAGTGGGCTCTGACACACATACTCAAAGTCAATCTTCGGCACATACGATGTTCCAGGGGATATCTGTGATGGCTGCAAGCTAGACATTAGACTAGGTTTTGAGGAAGAAACAGCTTCTGACCTTGCAGCACACACATCTGACTGCACAAGGCTGGGTATGTGTGAAGGTTCCAGTGTGAACGTTCCATCCATGTTGTCGGAGTTGACAGAAGCAGTTGGGGAACTGGGCGCACCCTGTTCTTCAGTAGGCCCTGTGACCGGGTTCCGGGCGAAGGTATCATTCAGTCGCTGCCACTGCCCTGATGCTGATGGAGGTGCACTGCCGTCTGTATGCAGAGTGGCCATTTTCTTAAATGCGGGAGTGTGACCAGCATTGACAGACTGCGAGGTCATGCTGGGGTCAGCCTCTGTAGTGAGTGAGAGATGTGAAGGTAGAGAGCCAGGAGCACAGTGTGGGGGCCCGTCAACCACTCGGGCTGCTGCTGCTGCTGTGCTCACTGTAGACTGGCCAGACATCACCCTCTGGGCTCCCCCTGCAATACACAGAGAGAAGGATGTAACACCAGCTGTTTTACATGGAAACAGGACTTTCACAAAGCCTCAATAAACTAAACGGACCCCAGCACCATGTGACACAATAAAACATAGCACCCCAAGGGACATAGGAACATAGCTACTTGTGACATTGTAGGGGCATAGCATCCAGTGACACTACAAGGAAGTAGCACCCCGTGACACTACAACCACATAACACCCTGTGACATTGTAGGGACATAGCACCCCGTGACACTAGAAGGACATAGCACCCTGTGACACTACAAGGACATAGCACCCAGTGACACTACAAGGACATAGCACCTTGTGGCACTACAACGACATAACACCCCGTGACACTGTAGGGACATAGCACAATGTGACTCTACAAGGAAATAGCTCCCCATGCGCTGTAGGGACAAAGCACCCCATGACACTGCAGGGACACAGCACCAATGTCACTGTAGGAACATAGCACCCCATGACACTAAGGACATAGCACCCTGTGACACTACAAGGACATAGCACCCTGTGACACTACAAGGACAAAGCACCCTGTGACACTACAAGGACATAGCACCCTGTGACACTACAACTACAAGGACATAGCACCCTGTGACACTACAAGGACATAGCACCCTGTCGCACTACAAGGACATTGCACCCTGTGACACTACAAGGACATAGCACCCTGTCGCACTACAAGGACATAGCACCCTGTGACACTACAAGGACATAGCACCCTGTCGCACTACAAGGACATAGCACCCTGTGACACTACAAGGACATTGCACCCTGTGACACTACAAGGACATTGCACCCTGTGACACTACAAGGACATAGTACCCTGTGACACTACAACTACAAGGACATAGCACCCTGTGACACTACAAGGACATAGCACCCTGTGACGCTACAAGGACATAGCACCCTGTGACACTACAACTACAAGGACAAAGCACCCTGTAACACTACAAGGACATAGCACCCTGTGACGCTACAAGGACAAAGCACCCTGTGACACTACAAGGACATAGTACCCTGTGACACTACAACTACAAGCACATAGCACCCTGTGACACTACAAGGACATAGCACCCTGTGACACTACAAGGACATAGCACCCTGTGACACTATAGTTGTACTCCAGGTAGACATGCAGGTACATGCACCCACCACTGTTGGCCAGTTCCCCTGACTTGCCTGCCTCTCCCGACGTGTGTCTGTGTCCCCCGTGTCTGTGTCCCGGGTGACTGCCAGGGCAATCTGAAGCAAGAGGATGGTAAAATAGGACCAAAGATAAAAAAACCCAGCTGTGTTATTAACATACAATTCATGATGTGACAAGCAAGGTCACGATACATAGTTCATTTTACAATACATATCATGATACATAGTTCACAATCCTATACATATCATGATACATAGTTCATTTTACAATACATATCACGATACATAGTTCATGATACAATACATATCATGATACATAGTTCACAATCCTATACATATCATGATACATAGTTCACAATCCTATACATATCATGATACATAGTTCATGATACAATACATATCATGATACATAGTTCACAATCCTATACATATCATGATACATAGTTCATGATACAATACATATCATGATACATAGTTCACAATCCTATACATATCATGATACATATTTCATGATACAATACATATCATGATACATAGTTCACAATCCTATACATATCATGATACATAGTTCATGATACAATACATATCATGATACATAGTTCACAATCCTATACATATCATGATACATAGTTCACAATCCTATACATATCATGATACATAGTTCACAATCCTATACATATCATGATACATAGTTCATGATACAATACATATCATGATACATAGTTCACAATCCTATACATATCATGATACATAGTTCACAATCCTATACATATCATGATACACAGTTCACAATCCTATACATATCATGATACATAGTTCATGATACAATACATATCATGATGCATAGTTCACAATCCTATACATATCATGATACATAGTTCATGATACAATACATATCATGATACATAGTTCACAATCCTATACATATCATGATACATAGTTCATGATACAATACATATCATGATACATAGTTCATGATACAATACATATCATGATACATAGTTCACAATCCTATACATATCATGATACATAGTTCACAATCCTATACATATCATGATACACAGTTCACAATCCTATACATATCATGATACATAGTTCAGGATACAATACATATCATGATACATAGTTCACAATCCTATACATATCATGATACATATTTCATGATACAATACATATCATGATACATAGTTCACAATCCTATACATATCATGATACATAGTTCATGATACAATACATATCATGATACATAGTTCATGATACAATACATATCATGATACATAGTTCACAATCCTATACATATCATGATACATAGTTCACAATCCTATACATATCATGATACACAGTTCACAATCCTATACATATCATGATACATAGTTCAGGATACAATACATATCATGATACATAGTTCACAATCCTATACATATCATGATACATAGTTCACAATCCTATACATATCATGATACACAGTTCATGATACAATACATATCATGATACATAGTTCATGATACAATACATATCATGATACATAGTTCACAATCCTATTCATATCATGATACATAGTTCAGGATACAATACATATCATGATACATAGTTCACAATCCTATACATATCATGATACATAGTTCATGATACAATACATATCATGATACATAGTTCACAATCCTATACATATCATGATACATAGTTCATGATACAATACATATCATGATACATAGTTCACAATCCTATACATATCATGATACATAGTTCACAATCCTATACATATCATGATACATAGTTCACAATCCTATACATATCACGATACATAGTTCATGATACAATACATATCATGATACATAGTTCACAATCCTATACATATCATGATACATAGTTCATGATACAATACATATCATGATACATAGTTCACAATCCTATACATATCATGATACATAGTTCACAATCCTATACATATCATGATACATAGTTCACAATCCTATACATATCATGATACATAGTTCACAATCCTATACATATCATGATACATAGTTCACAATCCTATACATATCATGATACATAGTTCACAATCCTATACATATCATGATACATAGTTCACAATCCTATACATATCATGATACATAGTTCACAATCATATACATATCATGATACATAGTTCACAATCCTATACATATCATGATACATAGTTCACAATCCTATACATATCATGATACATAGTTCATGATACAATACATATCATGATACATAGTTCAGGATACAATACATATCATGATACATAGTTCATGATACAATACATATCATGATACATAGTTCATGATACAATACATATCATGATACATAGTTCACAATCCTATACATATCATGATACATAGTTCACAATCCTATACATATCATGATACATAGTTCACAATCCTATACATATCATGATACATAGTTCATGATACAATACATATCATGATACATAGTTCACAATCCTATACATATCATGATACATAGTTCACAATCCTATACATTTCATGATACATAGTTCATGATACAATACATATCATGATACATAGTTCAGGATACAATACATATCATGATGCACAGTTCAAGATACAATACGTAATAAAAAAGCTACCTGTAGATTCATGTTCATAGCCCCTATTTTAGTAGTGAACTTGAAAAGTAAATATCACATGTTGCAATATTAGACTTTTAAAAATCTGGGATGGGTTAGGGGGTAATTAAACAAGTTATATTTTAACAAGTGTATCATCTTGTATCGATAGAGAAAATAGCATAACGTGTATCGTATCATTGCATGATACTCACGATGCACCAGTGCACCGATGTATCGTTTCACCCCTCTCCTCAAGAGGTGACAAGTTGGGAGTTGGGAGAGATACTATTCTCAATCTCATTTAAATCAGACCTTAGTTCTCGCTATCGCTAAACAAAGATCTGAAGACATCCCATTACGGGTCACGTAAGAACGACCTTTCATCCGACCAATGTGATTTCTTATCATGCAACCTCGAAAACTTTATTCTGAACGATAGTTACGGGTTTAATGACTGAATCCATAAAATCGAGCCCATCTATTAGCTATTCCAGAATGTTCTTTTGTTCAGGTTTCAAATTTGTAATCGAGAATTTTTCTAAATATGTTTCGAAGCATAGACGCCAATTTGAAATTAGTGCTGTAAAGCACAAGGCTGCTTTCTGATTCGTCATTCCATTCACCGGTCAAAGTTCGCGCAAGGTCGGTCTGATGTGACCCGTAATGTGATGTCCTAAGATCTTTGTTTAGCGGTAGCGAGAACTAAGATCTGATTTTAATGAGATTGTACCATACTGCAATACAGTTAATGCTTTTCTCCTCGTACTGTAACATCGTGGACTGTGCTGACTCACCCGCGTCTAACACCGATGGGAGCAGCGGGAGGGAGATGATGTCGTTGATGGGAACACCGGTACCATCACCGGCCGTTTCATCCTCCCATGTCACCTCTCGACCATCCACGGACTGAGATATCACATCAAACTCCTCCAGGAGGTCAGAGGTCGCAAGGTTGTGACCCTTCAGGATAAAGTGTTGCTTGCGTACGAGAGCAAGCAGGTTTGCAACCAGTCTAGATGGGAGAAACATAACATTGAGACAAGTATTATGAATAACATCATGGAGACCTCAGATACACGGGGGGGGGGGGGGGGTTTACAGAGGCTGTTGGGTTGTTTGTTCTGAATGTCTTGATGGTATGTTACTGTTAGTGCTGGACCAGTTATTTGAGGGCTCAGATTGCCTGTCAAATCTGTGCTTCAGAGAGAATTAATTCATGCCTGTTGAAAAACTGCAAAGTGACCAGCGGTCGTCAAGGCATGGACATATGTCACAGGAGATAAGCACTGTCCATGTCAAACCCTGCATAGTGACCAGCAGTCCTCAAGGCATGGACACATGTCACAGGAGATAAGCACTGTCCATGTCAATCCCTGCTAAGTGACCAGCGGTCCACAAGGCATGGACATATGTCACAGGAGATAAGCACTGTCCATGTCAAACCCTGCTAAGTGACCAGCGGTCCTCAAGGCATGGACATATGTCACAGGAGATAAGCACTGTCCATGTCAAACCCTGCATAGTGACCAGCAGTCCTCAAGGCATGGACACATGTCACAGGAGATAAGCACTGTCCATGTCAAACCCTGCTAAGTGACCAGCGGTCCTCAAGGCATGGACATATGTCACACGGGGTGAGCGCTGTCCATGTCAAACCCTGCATAGTGACCGGCGGTCCTCAAGGCATGGACATATGTCACAGGAGATAAGCACTGTCCATGTCAAACCCTGCATAGTGACCAGCAGTCCTCAAGGCATGGACACATGTCACAGGAGATAAGCACTGTCTATGTCAAACCCTGCATAGTGACCAGCGGTCCTCAAGGCATGGACATATGTCACACGGGGTGAGCGCTGTCCATGTCAAACCCTGCTAAGTGACCAGCGGTCCTCAAGGCATGGACATATGTCACACGGGGTGAGCGCTGTCCATGTCAAACCCTGCATAGTGACCGGCGGTCCTCAAGGCATGGACATATATCACAAGGGGGTGAGCGCTGTCCATGTCGAACCGGATGTTGGTAGGTAACGACTGCAATGACTTTACAATAAAAATTGTGATTTCGCCCAAGCACATGGGGCATGGTCTAGGCAGGTTCTTAGCCCTTTTACATAATAATTTGAACTAGATCCAACTTATATCATGGACCGAAGGGCTTCCTGACCACAATCATTATTTATATACGACACTCAGTTCAGTTCAATGTTTCTTACTTTACTTTTGGTGGTACAATACCAACATCCGGTTTGGCATGGACAGCTCTTACCCTGTGTGTATGTGTATACTGCCTTCTACTGCCTAACAGGCAACGTGGGTTGTACACTCCCCAGGTAGCTAAGAATGCATGTTGCACATTGATAGTCGACCAGGGTTGTAAGTGAGTGTGCTGTGGGCATGAGATATGAGGAATAGCACTATACATGCTATAGAAATAACAAAATTATCATTTATTATGATTATTACTATTGCGTGTACACCTACCGGTCGGTGGCGGTTGTTTCCTTCTCCTGCGAGCGTATCAGCTTCTGCAGGTGCTTGGTGTGATGTCTGCAATCCCGCACCTCCACCTCCAGGTTGTGCATCCTCAGACTCACAGACAGCAGCTAGAAACAAAGCAGAACATTGTACAGGACACTATCAGACAGCAGAACATGGTACAGGACACCATCAGACAGCAGAACATTGTGCAGGACACTATCAGACAGCAGAACATGGTACACAACACCATCAGACAGCAGAACATGGTACAGGACACCATCAGGCAGCAGAACATGGTACAGGACACCATCAGACAGAACATGGTACACAACACCATCAGACAGCAGAACATTGTGCAGGACACCATCAGACAGCAGAACATTGTACACAACACCATCAGACAGCAGAACATGGTACAGGACACCATCAGGCAGCAGAACATTGTACAGGACACCATCAGACAGAACATGGTACAGGACACCATCAGACAGAACATTGTACAGGACACCATCAGACAGCAGAACATTGTACAGGACACCATCAGACAGAACATTGTGAAGGACACCATCAGACAGTAGAACATGGTACACAACACCATCAGACAGCAGAACATTGTGCAGGACACCATCAGACAGCAGAACATTGTGCAGGACACCATCAGACAGCAGAACATTGTACACAACACCATCAGACAGCAGAACATGGTACAGGACACCATCAGGCAGCAGAACATGGTACAGACACCATCAGACAGCAGAACATTGTGCAGGACACCATCAGACAGCAGAACATTGTACAGGACACTATCAGACAGCAGAACATGGTACAGGACACCATCAGACAGCAGAACATGGTACAGGACACCATCAGACAGCAGAACATTGTGCAGGACACCATCAGGCAGCAGAACATTTTACAGGACACCATCAGACAGAACATAGTACACAACACCATCAGGCAGCAGAACATGGTACAGACACCATCAGACAGCAGAACATGGTACAGGACACCATCAGGCAGCAGAACATTGTACAGGACACCATCAGACAGCAGAACATGGTACACACCATCAGACAGCAGAACATGGTACAGGACACCATCAGACAGCAGAACATTTTACAGGACACCATCAGACAGCAGAACATGGTACAGGACACCATCAGACAGCAGAACATGGTACAGGACACCATCAGACAGCAGAACATTTTACAGGACACCATCAGACAGCAGAACATGGTACAGGACACCATCAGACAGCAGAACATGGTACAGGACACCATGAGACAGCTGAACATGGTACAGGACACCATCAGACAGCAGAACATGGTACAGGACACCATCAGACAGCAGAACATTGTACAGGACACTGTCAGACAGCAGAACATGGTACAGGACACCATCAGACAGCAGAACATGGTACAGGACACCATCAGACAGCAGAACATTGTGCAGGACACCATCAGGCAGCAGAACATTTTACAGGACACCATCAGACAGAACATTGTACACAACACCATCAGGCAGCAGAACATGGTACAGACACCATCAGACAGCAGAACATGGTACAGGACACCATCAGGCAGCAGAACATTGTACAGGACACCATCAGACAGCAGAACATGGTACACACCATCAGACAGCAGAACATGGTACAGGACACCATCAGACAGCAGAACATTTTACAGGACACCATCAGACAGCAGAACATGGTACAGGACACCATCAGACAGCAGAACATGGTACAGGACACCATCAGACAGCTGAACATGGTACAGGACACCATCAGACAGCAGAACATGGTACAGGACACCATCAGGCAGCAGAACATGGTACAGACACCATCAGACAGCAGAACATTGTGCAGGACACCATCAGACAGCAGAACATTGTGCAGGACACTATCAGAGAGCAGAACATCTTACAGGACACCATCAGACAGAACATGGTACAGGACACTATCAGACAGCAGAACATGGTACAGACACCATCAGACAGCAGAACATTGTGCAGGACACCATCAAACAGCAGAACATTGTACAGGACACCATCAGACAGCAGAACATGGTACAGGACACCATCAGACAGCAGAACATGGTACAGGACACCATCAGACAGCAGAACATTGTGTAGGACACCATCAGACAGCAGAACATGGTACAGGACACTATCAGACAGAACATTGTACACAACACCATCAGGCAGCAGAACATGGTACAGACACCATCAGACAGCAGAACATTGTGCAGGACACCATCAGACAGCAGAACATTGTACAGGACACCATCAGACAGAACATTGTACACAACACCATCAGGCAGCAGAACATTGTACAGGACATCATCAGGCAGCAGAACATTGTACAGGACACCATCAGACAGCAGAACATTGTACACAACACCATCAGAGAGCAGAACATTGTACACAACACCATCAGGCAGCAGAACATGGTACAGACACCATCAGACAGCAGAACATTGTGCAGGACACCATCAGACAGCAGAACATTGTACAGGACACAATCAGACAGCAGAACATGGTACAGGACACCATCAGGTAGCAGAACATTGTACAGGACATAATCAGGCAGCAGAACATTGTAAAGGACACCATCAGGCAGCAGAACATTGTACAGGACACCATCAGACAGCAGAACATGGTACAGGACACCATCAGAGAGCAGAACATGGTACAGGACACCATCAGACAGCAGAACATTGTGCAGGACACCATCAGACAGCAGAACATCGTACAGGACACCATCAGACAGCAGAACATGGTACAGGACACCATCAGACAGCAGAACATTGTGCAGGACACCATCAGACAGCAGAACATCGTACAGGACACCATCAGGCAGCAGAACATTGTACAGGACACCATCAGACAGCAGAACATGGTACAGGACACCATCAGAGAGCAGAACATGGTACAGGACACCATCAGACAGCAGAACATTGTACAGGACACCATCAGACAGCAGAACATCGTACAGGACACCATCAGACAGAACATGGTACAGGACACCATCAGACAGAACATGGTACAGGACACCATCAGACAGAACATGGTACAGGACACCATCAGACAGCAGAACACTGTACAGGACACCATCAGACAGCAGAACATTGTACAGGACACCATCAGACAGAACATGGTACAGGACACCATCAGACAGCAGAACATTGTACAGGAAACCATCAGGCAGCAGAACAATGTATAGAACACCATCAGACAGCAGAACATTGTACAGGACACCATCAGACAGCAGAACATTTTACAGGACACTATCAGACAGAACATGGTACAGGACACCATCAGACAGCAGAACATTGTACAGGACACCATCAGACAGAACATGGTACAGGACACCATCAGACAGCAGAACATTTTACAGGACACCATCAGACAGAACATGGTACAGGACACCATCAGACAGCAGAACATTGTACAGGACACCATCAGACAGCAGAACATTGTACAGGACACCATCAGACAGAACATGGTACAGGACACCATCAGACAGCAGAACATGGTACAGGACATCATCAGACAGCAGAACATGGTACAGGACACCATCAGACAGCAGAACATGGTACAGGACACCATCAGACAGAACATGGTACAGGACACCATCACGGAGGGCAGGTAGATGAGGGTGCAGCATGGGAACCTACACTCTACAGTGATGGTCAGGACGGAGGGCAGGTAGATGAGGGTGCAGCATGGGAACCTACACTCTACAGTGATGGTCAGGACGGAGGGCAGGTAGATGAGGGTGCAGCATGGGAACCTACAGTCTACAGTGATGGTCAGGACGGAGGGCAGGTAGATGAGGGTGCAGCATGGGAACCTACAGTCTACAGTGATGGTCAGGACGGAGGGCAGGCAGATGAGGGTGCAGCATGGGACCTACAGTCTACAGTGATGGTCAGGACGGAGGGCAGGTAGATGAGGGTGCAGCATGGGAACCTACAGTCTACAGTGATGGTCAGGACGGAGGGCAGGTAGATGAGGGTGCAGCATGGGAACCTACAGTCTACAGTGATGGTCAGGACGGAGGGCAGGTAGATGAGGGTGCAGCATGGGAACCTACAGTCTACAGTGATGGTCAGGACGGAGGGCAGGTAGATGAGGGTGCAGCATGGGAACCTACACTCTACAGTGATGGTCAGGACGGAGGGCAGGTAGATGAGGGTGCAGCATGGGAACCTACAGTCTACAGTGATGGTCAGGACGGAGGGCAGGTAGATGAGGGTGCAGCATGGGAACCTACAGTCTACAGTGATGGTCAGGACGGAGGGCAGGTAGATGAGGGTGCAGCATGGGAACCTACAGTCTACAGTGATGGTCAGGACGGAGGGCAGGTAGATGAGGGTGCAGCATGGGAACCTACACTCTACAGTGATGGTCAGGACGGAGGGCAGGTAGATGAGGGTGCAGCATGGGAACCTACAGTCTACAGTGATGGTCAGGACGGAGGGCAGGTAGATGAGGGTGCAGCATGGGAACCTACAGTCTACAGTGATGGTCAGGACGGAGGGCAGGTAGATGAGGGTGCAGCATGGGAACCTACACTCTACAGTGATGGTCAGGACGGAGGGCAGGTAGATGAGGGTGCAGCATGGGAACCTACACTCTACAGTGATGGTCAGGACGGAGGGCAGGTAGATGAGGGTGCAGCATGGGAACCTACAGTCTACAGTGATGGTCAGGACGGAGGGCAGGCAGATGAGGGTGCAGCATGGGAACCTACAGTCTACAGTGATGGTCAGGACGGAGGGCAGGTAGATGAGGGTGCAGCATGGGAACCTACAGTCTACAGTGATGGTCAGGACGGAGGGCAGGTAGATGAGGGTGCAGCATGGGAACCTACAGTCTACAGTGATGGTCAGGACGGAGGGCAGGTAGATGAGGGTGCAGCATGGGAACCTACACTCTACAGTGATGGTCAGGACGGAGGGCAGGTAGATGAGGGTGCAGCATGGGAACCTACAGTCTACAGTGATGGTCAGGACGGAGGGCAGGTAGATGAGGGTGCAGCATGGGAACCTACACTCTACAGTGATGGTCAGGACGGAGGGCAGGTAGATGAGGGTGCAGCATGGGAACCTACAGTCTACAGTGATGGTCAGGACGGAGGGCAGGTAGATGAGGGTGCAGCATGGGAACCTACACTCTACAGTGATGGTCAGGACGGAGGGCAGGTAGATGAGGGTGCAGCATGGGAACCTACAGTCTACAGTGATGGTCAGGACGGAGGGCAGGTAGATGAGGGTGCAGCATGGGAACCTACAGTCTACAGTGATGGTCAGGACGGAGGGCAGGTAGATGAGGGTGCAGCATGGGAACCTACACTCTACAGTGATGGTCAGGACGGAGGGCAGGTAGATGAGGGTGCAGCATGGGAACTTACAGTCTACAGTGATGGTCAGGACGGAGGGCAGGTAAATGAGGGTGCAGCATGGGAACCTACAGTCTACAGTGATGGTCAGGACGGAGGGCAGGTAGATGAGGGTGCAGCATGGGAACCTACAGTCTACAGTGATGGTCAGGACGGAGGGCAGGTAGATGAGGGTGCAGCATGGGAACCTACAGTCTACAGTGATGGTCAGGACGGAGGGCAGGTAGATGAGGGTGCAGCATGGGAACCTACACTCTACAGTGATGGTCAGGACGGAGGGCAGGTAAATGAGGGTGCAGCATGGGAACCTACAGTCTACAGTGATGGTCAGGACGGAGGGCAGGTAGATGAGGGTGCAGCATGGGAACCTACAGTCTACAGTGATGGTCAGGACGGAGGGCAGGTAGATGAGGGTGCAGCATGGGAACCTACACTCTACAGTGATGGTCAGGACGGAGGGCAGGTAGATGAGGGTGCAGCATGGGAACTTACCTCTGGCACCGCGTTGTCTCCTCCTGCCAGGCACAACTCGGAGTGGACCCGGTTCAGCCAGTCCTGGTTGGCGGCCAGCTTCACTTCAGCTGCATCTCGCTTCCTGGTCACTGCCTCCATCTTGCCCTGGAGGGACTTGAGGCTGCGCTCCACTCGCTCACACACCTACAACAATCAGACACACATGTCAGGTGTACATACAAGCAGCAACCCTCCATCTTGCCCTGGAGGGACTTGAGGCTGCGCTCCACACGCTCACACACCTACAACCATCAGATACACATGTCAGGTGTACATACAAGCAGCAACCCTCCATCTTGCCCTGGAGGGACTTGAGGCTGCGCTCCTCTCGCTCACACACCTACAACCATCAGAGGTGAGGTGAAATGGGGTTTAACGTCGCGTCCAAGATTATTGCACTTATATAGCGACGTGCATGTACGTGTGTGTGTTTGTGTGGCTGCTTGTACTAGTCCGTACTGATGCCGATTAATAGTGCTAGCTCACTGAGATACCATGCCGCAGTTTAACATGAATACCCCACTCAGACACAGTATACTGACTTCGAGCCAACCAGTCCTTGTTTTAGCCCCTTAATGTCGAGCGCCAGACAGGGTAACAACAAGTACCATCTTTTAACGTCTTTTGGTATGACGCGGCCGGGGATCGAACCCCGGACCTTCCACTCTCCGGGCGGACGCTCTACCACTAGACCACGGAGGCGGTCTACAACCATCAGATACACATGTCAGGTGTACATCTGAGCATCGGCAACACCTTCAGGTGTACATCTGACCATCGGCAACACCTTCAGGTGTACATCTGACCATCGGCAACACCTTCAGGTGTACATCTGACCATTGGCAACACTTTCAGGTGTACATTTGACCATCGGCAACACCTTCAGGTGTACATCTGACCATCGGCAACACCTTCAGGTGTACGTCTGACCATCAGCAACACCTTCAGGTGTATAGCCAAGCTTCTACAGCAGGCACTTTAAGACATGTTGCGTGCCACCTGAGTGAAGTGACTGAGTGAGTGATTGAATGTTGTTTAACGTGGTCACCAGAATCACTACCATCAGGCACAATGACGTGCTATCAATCAAGTGACCGAAACAGACCACACTAGTATTTTCAGTCAATCCTTATGACAAGCATACATTATTAGTTGTGGTAGGATCACAAGAGGTACATGGGTTTCTTCATGCGTCCCATGGGCCCATCTTTAATGTGCTGCAACAAATTTATCTTAGCGACATGTTGTGATATGACTATGTAAACTAATTAAAACAAATTTCAAAATTGATAGAAAACAGCTGTTTGATTGAGCTGAGGTTAACTTGTGCTCTGTCACATGACTTTCATTTACTCAGAAATAGCGTGCAGCTTCTTGGTGCAAGCGGGGTGTAAGGGATTTATTCTCCCTCTCAGAAATCCATGTGCAGCCTCACTTGCTCGTCGCAGGTATAAAGGATTTATGAACCCTCTGAGAAATGTATTTCCCTCCAAGGCAGGATACACAGTATAGTGTCAAGGTCATGTGAAGCAATCAGATCTCATCATTCTGACATGGAGGTTAATAAAGTCTACTGTAGGCATCTTTGTACCTAGTGACAACCACATCCAGTCATAGTACAACCACATCCAGTCATTGTACAACCACATCCAGTTATAGTACAACCACATCCAGTCATTGTACAACCACATACAGTCATTGTACAACCACATCCAGTCATTGTACAACCACATACAGTCATTGTACAACCACATACAGTCATTGTACAACCACATCCAGTCATTGTACAACCACATCCAGTCATTGTACAACCACATCCAGTCATTGTACAACCACATCCAGTCATAGTACAACCACATCCAGTCATTGTACAACCACATCCCGTCATTGTACAACCACATCCCGTCATTGTACAACCACATCCCGTCATTGTACAACCACATCCCGTCATTGTACAACCACATACAGTCATTGTACAACCATATCCAGTCATTGTACGACCACATCCAGTCATTGTACAACCACATACAGTCATTGTACAACCACATCCAGTCATTGTACAACCACATCCCGTCATTGTACAACCACATACAGTCATTGTACAACCACATCAAGTCATTGTACAACCACATCCAGTCATTGTACAACCACATCCAGTCATTGTACAACCACATCCAGTCATTGTACAACCACATCCAGTCATTGTACAACCACATCCAGTCATTGTACAACCACATCCAGTCATTGTACAACCACATCCAGTCATTGTACAACCACATCCCATCATTGTACAACCACATCCAGTCATTGTACAACCACATCCAGTCATTGTACAACCACATCCAGTCATTGTACAACCACATCCAGTTATAGTACAACCACATCCAGTCATTGTACAACCACATCCAGTCATAGTACGACCACATCCAGTCATTGTACAACCACATCTAGTCATTGTACAACCACATCCATTCATAGTACAACCACATCCAGTCATTGTACAACCACATCCAGTCATTGTACAACCACATCCAGTCATTGTACAACCACATCCAGTCATTGTACAACCACATCTAGTCATTGTACAACCACATCCCATCATTGTACAACCACATCCAGTCATTGTACAACCACATCCAGTCATTGTACAACCACATCTAGTCATTGTACAACCACATCCATTCATAGTACAACCACATCCAGTCATTGTACAACCACATCCAGTCATTGTACAACCACATCCAGTCATTGTACAACCACATCTAGTCATTGTACAACCACATCCCGTCATTGTAAAACCACCTACCTGTCCCTGAGCAGCGCTCGAGATGACACGGAGTCGATGAAGACATCTCTGTTTGCGGCCAATCTTCCACAGCAGGTCCCGATACACACACTCCACCTGCAGCTGCTCTCGACGCACGTCCAAACGAGCCTCGAAGATGTTCTCCAGGATCGCGCTCAGTCTGTGTGAGGGACAAGATACTGCTCAACATCTCACACATTCTAGCTCTGTCGGTAGTGTACTTCATTTATACCATCAACAAAGAATTTACTAAATGTCCTCAATGCTACAGACGAACCTATTTAGGTAAGTTCCAAAAAATATTTTATGTTCACTTTGGTCTACAACCTTCGTATGAGTGAATTTATCAGGATATTTTGAAACAGTAATGTGTATTTTTCTATCAGGGATAAATGTGCAAAGTATTTCTTCAATTGGCCCTTGTTTAATGAAACACAGAGTACTCTTTACAGGTGAAGGTGACCATGAAGCAAACCATTAACTGTCCAGCTGAAAAGATCAGCTGAACATCCATCAGCTGTACACCCACCAGCTGTACAGACCATCAGCTGTAAAGCCACCAGCTGTACAGACCACCAGCTGTAGACCACCAGATGTACAGACCACCAGATGTACAGACCACCAGCTGTACACTCATCAGCTGTACAGACCACCAGCTGTACTGACCATCAGTTGTATAGACCACCATCCGTACACCCACCAGCTGTATAGACCACCATCCGTACACCCACCAGCTGTACTGACCACCAGCTGTACAGACTATCAGTATCAGTTGTATAGACCACCAGCTGTACAGACTATCAGTTGTATAGACCACCAGCTGTACAGACTATCAGTTGTATAGACCACCAGCTGTACAGACTATCAGTTGTATAGACCACCAGCTGTACTGACCATCAGTTGTATAGACCACCATCTGTACACCCACCAGCTGTACTGACCACCAGCTGTACAGACTATCAGTTGTATAGACCACCAGCTGTACAGACTATCAGTTGTATAGACCACCAGCTGTACTGACCATCAGCTAAGTGACCATCACCTGTACACCCACCAGCTGTACAGACAATCAGCTGTACAGACCACCAGCTTACAGACTACCAGCTGTACAGACCATCAGCTGTACAGACCATCAGTTAAATAGACCACTAGCTGTACACCCAGCAGCTGTACAGACCGCCTATTGTACAGACCATCAGCTGTATAGACCATCAGCTGTTTAGACCATCAGTTGTATAGACCACTAGCTGTACAGACTGCCTACTGTACAGACCATCAGCTGTATAGACCATCAGCTGTATAGACCATCAGTTGTATAGACCACTAGCTGTACAGACCAACAGCTGTACACCCAGCAGCTGTACAGACCACCAGCTTGGGTGTAAGCTGTGTGTAACAAAACCACAGGGTACAATTCAATGGTTACTTAATTAATTGTTTATTTTGCAAGATATGTTTAATGTAGGTGATACTGCCGCTGTGTATGGAAAGGGAATTTCTGTGACTGATTGCTGCCACTTTACATCTTTAAACCTCTTGTTAGAATCCTATGCTATCTGTTAGGATGACTGTTGATAGCCAGTGTGGTAATCAAAGTTGAATAAAGAGAGTCATATGTTATTTCTGTGTGGTTGATATTTGCAAATACAAAAACTTTACCAATGAAAAAATAAACATGGCATCAACTAAATGTTCACCTTTGCTCCTCATTGACAGCTGACTGTCGCCGTGACGACCCCATCTTCCCCTCATCATACAGCTGAAGTCGTGACTTCAACTCTCCGATCTGTGAGTAGAAGACAGATAACATGATTACTATACAACTATAACACTTGCTATATCGGACAACCAGAACCATAACACGTGCTGTGTCACACCACACCTGCCTCACAGGGTAAAAGTAAACATGTTTATTACTTGCCCGTGAAGAGATGACCCGTTTAATAAACATACAGCTTTATTAAACATTGTGTAATACCAAAACGCGTGCTTATGTATTCTCGGAACACGTTTCACGAACAAATATTGAAAGCTCTCAACATCCCTTGGCTTATTCAACGGCATTGTGTGTGGAGATGATAGATCACTGGGAGGAGCTTATGCACACTCGATGACCCCAGCAACCTTGTTGCTAGGGTGACGTCACATGGCATTGTTTCGCCGATGGATCTTGCAACAAAATTCAACAAATTACGTCATCGGGTATTGTGACATGATTGTAAACTTTGAGGTGCAAGGTCCCGTTCCACAAGACGATCGTACTCTAGCGCAACGACAGTCGTTACCCTTAGAAGTTAAATTATGTGAGTTGTGACAGCCTTAGCACTACGATAATTTTGTGGGACGAACGCCTGAATTCTAAAGGTGGACCATTGTATGATATTAAATTCATACGTTTCAACTTTTTACGTGTTTGAAGTATTATTCTGTTAAACTCAATTGGATTATGCCATGGATCGTGTAGGTGTCAGCCTATTTACACTCAACAGTATAATTATAAAAACATTATAAATGACAAGTAATAAATAAAATACTAAACTCGCTCTCGTGTAAAACCAATTTTATGAAACTCGTGAATAGTTGTGGTATCTCACTCGCATTTGCTCGTCAGATACCAGAACTATTCACTCGTTTCATAAAATTGGTATTACACGGGAGCTCGTTTAGTATTCTATATTTATTGTATACTTCATTGTGAGTTTTCTGAAGTTGAGAAAGTTGTTCATTGCAGTGAACATAACCCTTTTAACAGAACTATTGTCATGATAGAGTGACCTCCCCTCAAATTGTCCCCCTTTACCGTAAGAGTCTGGTCCGTTTACAAACTGTTGACAACTTTTTTACGTTAGTGTCACATTGACAAGGCAAAATAATGACGGGTGGTCATTTATGGAGTAAATATCGCTTCATGTCATTTGTTATTCTCTTGAAATGTCTCGTTATAAACTGTAAATTTCTCTTTAACTCGTCAATTGAGACAGTTCTTTTCGCAAAGCGCCATTTTTGTTACTTGACCAGCATGTATTCTTTCGCTTCCAACAGCAGTCTCATATATATATATATATAATCATATGTAAAGGTATGATACAGAATTTTTGCGCACATCCAATAAAGCTGAATCAATGAATCTCTGCTTCTATGAACACATCAGTGCAACATCAGCAACATCACTGCAGGACACTTTCATTTGGGAGGTCAGGTCATAGATGTTCACTTTGGTGAAATATGGTTGTGGTTCTGACATAACAAGGATCACAATGGGGACAGGCCATAATCAGTGGATCCTGTTACAGCTAAGGGAGGCGACTCTAAATGAAAGCAGGTATTAGCTGATCTCACCTCTTTCCGCAAGTCCTCCACAATCTGGCCGTACCGGGACACGTGGAAGTCCACATTCAGGATGTTCTTCTTCAGCTGGGAAACAGACAGACATATAAGTGATCTAGTGAGTGAGAGTGGGTGGATGGGTGGACTTGATGACCCAATGTTTCAACAACAATTTATATTTCCCCAAATTAAAGAAAATCTACAGGAAGTATGTTGTTCCTGTGGTCTACTCACCATGGCCCGGATGTGCTTGGCCCTGTCGGCATACTTGAGGGTGTTGTAGGTGTCTTCATACGACATGCTGGAAGGACTAAGACAACAGAAACAGGATGTCAATAAAACAACTAGATTCTGTCACGTTCAGGCCACTTGCCTGATACTCATATTCAGATACAACTTTTCATTTGGCAACAATACAATTACTCCTGTAACTTGTATATAACTAATATTTTGACTGGGGTTGGACGATGGTGTCCTCCCTACCTGACTGCTGCAAGACAGTGGGGTGGGTGGGGGTGTCCTCCCTACCTGACTGCTGTAAGACAGTGGGGTGGGTTGGGGTGTCCTCCCTACCTGACTGCTGTAAGACAGTGGGGTGGGTAGGGGTGTTCTCCCTACCTGACTGCTGCAAGACAGTGGGGTGGGGTGGGATGTTCTCCCTACCTGACTGCTGTAAGACAGTGGGGTGGGTAGGGGTGTTCTCCCTACCTGACTGCTGCAAGACAGTGTGGTGGGGTGGGATGTTCTCCCTACCTGACTGCTGTAAGACAGTGGGGTGGGTAGGGGTGTTCTCCCTACCTGACTGCTGCAAGACAGTGGGGTGGGGTGGGATGTTCTCCCTACCTGACTGCTGTAAGACAGTGGGGTGGGTAGGGGTGTCCTCCCTACCTGACTGCTGCAAGACAGTGGGGTGGGGGTGGTGTCCTCCCTACCTGACTGCTGTAAGACAGTGGGGTGGGTAGGGGTGTTCTCCCTACCTGACTGCTGCAAGACAGTGGGGTGGGGTGTTCTCCCTACCTGACTGCTGCAAGACAGTGGGGTGGGGTGGGATGTTCTCCCTACCTGACTGCTGTAAGACAGTGGGGTGGGTAGGGGTGTTCTCCCTACCTGACAGCTGTAAGACAGTGGGGTGGGTTGAGGTGTTCTCCCTACCTGACTGCTGTAAGACAGTGGGGTGGGTAGGGGTGTTCTCCCTACCTGACTGCTGCAAGACAGTGGGGTGGGGTGTTCTCCCTACCTGACTGCTGTAAGACAGTGGGGTGGGTAGGGGTGTTCTCCCTACCTGACTGCTGCAAGACAGTGGGGTGGGTAGGGTTGTTCTCCCTACCTCTGCTGTAAGACAGTGGGGTGGGTTGAGGTGTTCTCCCTACCTGACTGCTGTAAGACAGTGGGGTGGGTAGGGGTGTTCTCCCTACCTGACTGCTGCAAGACAGTGGGGTGGGGTGGGATGTTCTCCCTACCTGACTGCTGTAAGACAGTGGGGTGGGTAGGGGTGTTCTCCCTACCTGACTGCTGCAAGACAGTGGGGTGGGGTGGGATGTTCTCCCTACCTGACTGCTGTAAGACAGTGGGGTGGGTAGGGGTGTTCTCCCTACCTGACTGCTGCAAGACAGTGGGGTGGGGGTGGTGTCCTCCCTACCTGACTGCTGTAAGACAGTGGGGTGGGTAGGGGTGTTCTCCCTACCTGACTGCTGCAAGACAGTGGGGTGGGGTGTTCTCCCTACCTGACTGCTGCAAGACAGTGGGGTGGGTAGGGGTGTTCTCCCTACCTGACTGCTGCAAGACAGTGGGGTGGGTAGGGTGTTCTCCCTACCTGACTGCTGCAAGACAGTGGGGTGGGTTGGGGTGTTCCCTCTACCTGACTGCTGCAAGACAGTGGGGTGGGTAGGGTGTTCTCCCTACCTGACTGCTGCAAGACAGTGGGGTGGGTGGGGGTGTCCTCCCTACCTGACTGCTGTAAGACAGTGGGGTGGGTAGGGTGTTCTCCCTACCTGACTGCTGTAAGACAGTGGGGTGGGTGGGGGTGTTCTCCCTACCTGACTGCTGTAAGACAGTGGGGTGGGTAGGGGTGTTCTCCCTACCTGACTGCTGTAAGACAGTGGGGTGGGTTGAGGTGTTCTCCCTACCTGACTGCTGAAAGACAGTGGGGTGGGTGGGGGTGTTCTCCCTACCTGACTGCTGTAAGACAGTGGGGTGGGTGGGGGTGTTCCCTCTACCTGACTGCTGCAAGACAGTGGGGTGGGTGGGGGTGTTCTCCCTACCTGACTGCTGTAAGACAGTGGGGTGGGTGGGGTGTTCTCCCTACCTGACTGCTGTAAGACAGTGGGGTGGGTAGGGGTGTCCTCCCTACCTGACTGCTGTAAGACAGTGGGGTGGGTGGGGGTGTTCTCCCTACCTGACTGCTGTAAGACAGTGGGGTGGGTAGGGATGTTCTCCCTACCTGACTGCTGTAAGACAGTGGGGTGGGTGGGGTGTTCTCCCTACCTGACTGCTGTAAGACAGTGGGGTGGGTGGGGGTGTTCCCTCTACCTGACTGCTGTAAGACAGTGGGGTGGGTGGGGGTGTTCTCCCTACCTGACTGCTGTAAGACAGTGGGGTGGGTAGGGATGTGCTCCCTACCTGACTGCTGTAAGACAGTGGGGCTGTCCTCCCTACCTGACTGCGGCAATCATGACAGTTCGACAGTTGCCTCCCAGCGAGTCCTTCAGGAGCCGGGTCAACTTGCTGTCTCGGTACGGAATGTGGCCCTTGTTCTGAAACACATAAGTTATAAACAGTGAGGTTCATTTGTCAGTAACAGAGAATGAATGAGTGGAGGAACCCGGTTCATATTTTCTGAACATGAAAATGAGCATGTTAATCAGGCTCGCTTGAAAGTAGTTGGTGAATCTTGTACACTCATCTTCCCGAGTGGAGGACTCTGACTGGTCAATAGGAGAGTCATGGAGGGGACATAGCTGGTGGTGCTATAATCAACACCCTCAATTCCAGCCTAGTTCGGCAATGGTGGAAACTGGACCTTTTACTCCCTTGTCTCATAAAGGTGGGTACACTCAATTTCTGACATAACTGAGTTGGTATGCAAGTCAAGGCTGAAGCACGAAAACCAGTGGTTGATGATGAGAGCATCTGTGAATGTGGTCCAGTATGATGACAAATAACCTATTTCAGGAGAAGGAATCCAGTACTTTTGTTTGCTTGTTTGTTGTTTAACGCTGCACTCAGCAATATGCCAGCTATATGACGGCGATCTGTAAATAATCGAGTCTTGGCCAGACAATCCAGTGATTGGCATCATGAGCATCGATCCACGCAATTGGGATCGATGACATGCATCAACCAAGTCAACGAGCCTGACCACCCGATCCCGTTAGTCGTCTCTTACGACAAGCGTAGTCACCTTTTACGGCAAGCATGGATTGCTGAAGACCTATTCTACACCGAATCTTCACGGGTGGAATCCGGTACAAACAAAAACCTGATACTAACACTCAGCTGCCAGTCCATCACACAGCAAGTGAAAGTTCCTTTAATCCTGCTATTCGGTGAATGGACTGACTACCCAAGGATGTCATCGTATATCGCAATATCAATGCATCAATAAGATATATATGTTGATACTGTACAGATAAAAATGTATGAATATTGATATTAAACTGTCACAGAAGCATTTACATTGATTTACATTACCATGGTTAAGATGGACAGTGAAAAAATCAATCCTAAAATGTTGAAGTTTATGCCACATCTAGGGCTAACCTTGTTCTCCGCGAGAGCATTGATGACATTGCCAAGTGCCAGGAGAGACCTGTTGATGTTGGCTCCCTCTCTGAATCTAGCCCCTCGGTTCTTGGTGACTGTGGCCCTTTCGGACCCTGCCAGGTCAACTAAACACATCTTGGCCACCTTCACCTCAGCAGATATGTTAGCGGTGCGGTCTTTCTGTCGCACAAATACCTGCACAAAGAAAATTTAGAAAAAAATAAATTAAACAAATTTAACATAGAGAGTTGTTTTTCAAACATGTCAAATGGAAAAAATGCAAAAGTTAAACCTAGTAAAATCTAAATATATTTTTACACTTTTATACTTATCCTACATACTCCTAAATGCATCTTCTGCAATTTTTGACAGAAAGACAAAGCTGTGTGAGGTCCAGCTGAAGAAGATGTTCCAACTAGTTGTGTGGATAATACTATCTCACAGTGCCCATGCAAGTGACCACGGAAGTGATGACGTCGTGTATCTTCACATTACTGCTTGTTGTGAATATAAAATGCTCCAGCAATATACCAGCATCCTTTTGCTTGTTTCTTGTTCATTTTCAATTTATATAATTCTAATGGTTTGTGACTTCATGTCTTACTACACATTCTTGCTGGTTTATTAATATATCGCACTTGATGGTGGCTACAAATAACAGGAAATATCCCCGTCAGAATCCCAGATAGACTAACATCTAGTCTCTGAAATGAACACACTTCACAGAAAAAACAGTTGTAAAATTATAGTTATATAATATAATAAAAAGGAGCCCAAAGAGTCTTCATTTTCAGATACTGCAGTAATCTAGACTTGCCAAACATTATACACTTGCATGGGCTTTATTCGATATATTTGTTTCAGGGTCTGTATGACAGACTAAATCCCATGGTTGGCTTTTATAGAGGTGCTCCCTTAACCCATGTCTGCTCTTGCATCTTCATCTTGGTCTTCTTCTTCCCTCCATGGAGAGACATCCAAGACTCACTCTTTTGTCTCTAGCTATGCTCTAGACGAGACTGCCCTCATGTCCCAGCAGAAGTTTTCCAAGGCTGGGAACTATCAGCCACTTCTCTCAAGGACCATGCCCAGGACACCCTGTCTCTTCATGACAAGCACACCTTCCATATTCCGCTTATTAAACGTCCCATTCTAGCAAGGGTCCACTGAACAACTCCTTTACCTATCAGCAAGTAATCTTCATAAGAACCCCATGCTAACTTACAAATCCCGAAAGTTTAATTGACAGTATTCTCTTGTGGTATATTTTACATGTAGACATGCATTGTCAAGTTCCCAAGGGTGAATGTGGTATGCCCAAAGATAGTGAAGTGCAGTTACCTGGAAGACAGCGTGAGACCGTGACGACTCAGCGTTGGCATCAGTCGGGTGCTGGGATCTGTTCTTGTTGCCGAACTGGAGCATGTACAGGAGCTCCTCTGCATTCTTCGGCTGCAAGCAGAACAGCAGCAACTCTCACACGTGTGTCACATCAGCAGCAACTCTCACACATGTGTCACATCAGCAGTAACTCTCACACGTGTGTCACACCAGCAGCAACTCTCACCTGTGTGTCACATCAGCAGCAACTCTCACACGTGTGTCACATCACCAGCAACTTTCACACATGGGTCACATCAGCAGCAACTCTCACACGTGTGTCACACCAGCAGCAACTCTCACACGTGTGTCACATCAGCAGCAACTCTCACCGTGTCACATCACCAGCAACTCACACACGTGTCACATCACCAGCAACTCTCACACATGTGTCACATCACCAGCAACTCTCACACGTGTCACAACAGCAGCAACTCCCACACATGTGTGTCACATCAGCAGCAACTCTCACACGTGTGTCACATAAGCAGCAACTCTCACACATGTGTGTCACATCACCAGCAACTCTCACAAGTATCACATCAGCAACAACTCACACAAGTATCACATCAGCAGCAACTCTCACACGTGTGTCACATCAGCAGCAACTCTCACACATGTGTCACATCAGCAGAAATTCTCACACGTGTGTCACATCAGCAGCAAACTGTCACACAAGTGCCACATCAGTAGCAAACTGTCACATCTGGGATTTATATGTACCTTGTGCAGCGAGAGTCCTGGCACAATAACACCAGTGTTTGGGTCCTCTCTGATTGGCAGACTCCCCCGTGGCAGCAGCAAGTCTTGGATCTGTTCATTGTACACCTGCAAGAAAATGGAATAGGACGCATCAACACCTGCAGGAAAATGAAATATGATGCATCAACACCTGCAGGAAAATGGAATATGACGCATCAACACCTGCAGGAAAATGAAATATGATGCATCACACCTGCAGGAAAATGGAATATGATGCATCACACCTGCATGAACTATATAATGCATCAACATGTGCAGGAATATAGTACTGTAAATCTTGAAATTAACCATGTTAACGCGAGCGTGAATAAAATGCGAAAAACGTGAGCGGTCTTTACTGGCATTAATTAACTTCACATTTATGTCTCCAAATGACTATCCAACAATAAGACTCACTGCACACTTTGGATAGCGGAGATACCAACTTCAATATCAACACAAACCTGGTTTATTGAGCAGCAGTTGTAACAAGTGTATAACAATGTCAGTTCAAGAATAGGAATTACACAATGGGCATCCGGAGAGTTATCACTGCTTGAGTCAAAAGTTCCACCCACTCGTGTCAAGCTTGTTGACACCTTCTCTGCATACCAATCAGTGAACTGTTGTTGGTTCAATTATTTTATTGTCTTTGAACTTCTTTAATGCCAGTCAACCAAGTAAACATATAAACTCTGTATCAAAACCTGCAGAAATATTGTATAGGCTGCACCACACCTGCAGAAATCTAGTATAGGCTGCATCACACCTGCACTAATATAGCATAGGCTGAACCACACCTGCAGGAATACAGTATATACTGCACCACACCTGCAGGAATACAGTATATGCTGCACCACACCTGCAGGAATATAATATACTGCACCACACCTGCAGGAATACAGTATATGCTGCACCACACCTGCACTAATATAGTATAGGCTGCACCACACCTGCAGGAATATAGTATATACTGCACCACACCTGCAGGAATACAGTATAGGCTGCACCACACCTGCAGGAATATAACATTTGCTGCACTACACCTGCAGGAATATAACGTATGCTGCACTACACCTGCAGGAATACAGTATATGCTGCACCACACCTGCCGGAATATAGTTTATGCTGCACCACACCTGCAGGAATATAGTATAGACTACATCACACCTGCCGGAATATAATGTATGCTGCACCACACCTGCAGGAATATAGTATAGACTACACCACACCTGCTGGAATATAATATATTCTGCACCACACCTGCAGGAATATAGTATAGACTGCACCACACCTGCATGAATATAGTATAGACTACACCACACCTGCAGGAATATAATATATTCTGCACCACACCTGCAGGAATATAATATATTCTGCACCACACCTGCAGGAATATAGTATATACTGCACCACACCTGCAGGAATACAGTATAGGCTGCACCACACCTGCAGGAATATAACATTTGCTGCACTACACCTGCAGGAATATAACGTATGCTGCACTACACCTGCAGGAATGCAGTATATGCTGCACCACACCTGCAGGAATATAGTTTATGCTGCACCACACCTGCAGGAATATAGTATAGACTACACCACACCTGCCGGAATATAACGTATGCTGCACCACACCTGCAGGAATATAGTATAGACTACACCACACCTGCGGGTATATAATATATTCTGCACCACACCTGCAGAAATATAATATATTCTACACCACACCTGCAGGAATATAATATATTCTGCACCACACCTGCAGGAATATAATATATTCTGCACCACACCTGCAGGAATATAATATATTCTGCACCACACCTGCAGGAATATAATATATTCTGCACCACACCTGCAGGAATATAGTATAGACTACACCACACCTGCAGGAATATAATATACTCTGCTCCACACCTGCAGGAATATAATATATTCTGCACCACACCTGCAGGAATATAATATATTCTGCACCAATACCTGCAGGAATATCAGCGGTAGAAACTAACAGTTTCAGTCCACCAGACCTAATAATGATAACATATAGAAAAACCCTTAAAAATGGCAAATTTCTACCAGTCCTTATGACACCTTAACTATTGGGCAGTTTGGCAAGGACTACAGGACTAGTGCCAATTTCCAACGCTGAATATATAGTGTCACATAAATAAAGCAAAATTTAAGTGTTTTCTGGAAGACAAACACAATGAAAAGAACTGTCCCTCACTGAACTCAATACGTACCACATAGTTCTGTACTAATGTAATCGAAACAGAAGGTGTTCATATCCATTTCCATACCTCAAGATAGGAGATGGCCACATCACATGTCTTCTCATCCTTAAGGTTAGCGATCCTCTCGTACAGGTCAATCATTGTATGGTACATGACCCCGGGGCGGGTCTCACTCCCCAGCATGGTGTGTGTCTTACCGGCCCCTGTAGCCCCATAGGCAAACACTGAAACACACCAACATACACACATGACACTCTATCCTTAGCCCTTGGATCCCCCCATGAGAAGTTGTGGTACTGTATTCTAAAGGTGCTCCGAGAAAAGAGGCCTAATGGGTGTATGGATACAACTGTGAAGTGACATGTGCGGACTGTACAAAAATAGGTTATTTTTCCCCGTTAGTTTGAATTGTAACAAAAACATTATTTCGTATCTTTTCAGCAGACATGTCTACATTCAATAAATCTGACATTATATCTAAAAACTGCAATCATTACATAAACAGTTATCGTCTGAAAATGGGAAATTGCAGAAAATGAGTGCAAGTGTTTGATGCCATGTATCTCTGTAATAAAAATGTATTGAAGCTCGGTAATTGCATTTTCGTGTTTCTATTATACTGTAGTTTAAAATACATCAAGATGAAATTGTGATCTTTCACTCGTCATGCTCATAGGGTCTCATATCTCATGGTTGATCACAAATATTGACTGAACTGAAGATTGTGAACTTTTGTGTTCCATAATGATAGGACAAATTGTGATTTTTCACCAATGAGGTCCCTTATCTCATGGTTGATCACAAATATTGACTGAACTGAAGATTGTGAACTTTTGTGTTCCATAATGATAGGACAAATTGTGATTTTTCACCAATGAGGTCCCTTATCTCATGGTTGGTCACATATATTGACTGAACTGAAGATTGTGAACTTTTGTGTTCCATAATGATAGGACAAATTGTGATTTTTCACCAATGAGGTCCCTTATCTCATGGTTGGTCACATATATTGACTGAACTGAAGATTGTGAACTTTTATGTTCCATAATGATAGGACAAATTGTGATTTTTCACCAATAAGGTCCCTATCTCATGGTTGGTCACAAATGTTGACAGATTAATCATGTTAAAACTACAGGCTCAAAAACTGATGGAGGTAGGGATGTATTTATGGGATAGTCACATTCATGAAGTTGACTAGAATTGTTAAGTACAGCAATGTAAGTCCAAATGTCTACCTGAGCAGTTGTAGCCCTCCAGCAGTCCATCAAGGATCCCTTTCGTCGTGTGCTCGTACACCTCCGCGTTGGTCGTACATGGACCAAACACAAAGTCAAAGGCAAACTTCAAATCTTTATTCCGACGTTTCCGGATGTCTCTCGGTTGTCTGCGGAATCCGCGGACAGGTGAGTTGCTCTCCTTCGGGTCAAAGGCCAACACATGTTCATTCATGTCCCTCACAACAACTTCAAATGGACCGACCTTCTCTGCAGCATTTTCTGGCCTAATTCTGACAACAACTTTGACATTGCTGGACTTTGTAGCGTTAACATGGTTACGTTCTGATCCCGCCATACTTCGGTCACTCCGAGGCCGACCCACTGTCATCTTCTAATGTGTCCTCTATGGCTGCAATCTAACGTGAACACTGATGAATACACACATCTCCAATATCCCATAAACGACCATGGGTACACAGACTATACATCAGGGTGATGTTGTACCAAACAACCTTAGCACTACGACTGTTGTAAGTCTGTGTTAAGGTATGGGAGTTACGATCACCTTAGCACTACGACTGTCGTAAGTCTGTGTTAAGGTATGGGAGTTACGATCACCTTAGCACTACGACTGTTGTAAGTCTGTATTAAGGTATTGGAGTTAAGATCACCTTAGCACTACGACTGTCGTAAGTCTGTGTTAAGGTATTGGAGTTAAGATCACCTTAGCGCTAAGATCACTTTGAACATTGGCACCCAGGGTTGTATCTAGGATTCTTAACTAAGTGCTCCTGACAGGCAAATAAGTGAATTAAGACCAGTAATGGGTGTCTGTCGTTTCATCCATCAATCAGGACCACTGTTCATATGATCATTGATTCATTCCAGGCTCCAACTCCAAGGTAATTATCAAAACGAACAGTACAGTACACCAACACAATACTTGACAGGACCCTCATATTGCCTGCAAGGACCCTCATATTGCCTGCAAGGACCCTCATATTGCCTGCAAGGACCCTTAAAATGAATCATTGGGGGTCCAGGGCCCCACTTTTGTAAGTTAAGTCTCTGAAAAGGATATATTTTACAGAAAAAAAAACAGTTGTTAAATTATAGTTGTAAGACATAATAAAAAGAAGCCCAAAGACTTTCTTCATTTTCAAATACTGCAGTATTGATGGCATCCTAGATTTGCTAAAAATGATAGACTTGTATGGGCTGTATTGCATATTTGTTTCAGGGTCTGTATGACAGACACTGAGACTATAACTATAAGTCAAGGAACACCCTGTGTAAATGTACATGTACTTTTATCAGTAAAGTCTACTGGGAAATTTTCTTGACTTCAGACTAAAGCCACAGTAAAGGATATTCTTTCTAGCTGTTAATAAACATAACACATAGAATGATGGATCTTAAAATTGGACTTAAAGGGGCACTGATCTAACGCAATTCCCCGGGACTGGTTGTTGCCTTTATTATTGTTTTTTCCCAGTAAATACCTGGATGTATAGCAGAAATCTAGACTAGTTCGCGACCTCTGCTGCGCCATTCGTAAGCGGATTAGTCACTTTTATGGATAGTAATAAGGGCGTATGGTCACATTGATCAACAAAATGAAATACAGTTTTCGAGATAATAAGGAAATGTAGGTATCTTTGTGAGTAGCATCGGTAATGGTGACGAAGTTTTGATAAGTCACTTGCTTGGTAATTTTGCGATTTTCGTTTACACTATTTTGACTTGCAACACAAAGTATATATTTCACCTGAGCATATGCTTTTTTTATAGTGTCTATATTTTTTTACTGTCAAATGTGTAACAAATTTATTAAACGTCTAAATATTCAGTTATTTTACAAAGTGACTGAAAAACATTTTCATCTGTATTATTATGACAACGAATTCCTAACATTTTGATGTTTAATGTCATCACCAAGAGACTGAAAATGTAACGTTGAAAAGTACATTTCTAAGTTGTTTGGCTTTTAATCCTACATAATAATCTGTTGTGATGTTTGTAGGCCCTTTTGATCGTCTTGATCAATCTGGACAGATTTTTTAGTCAAAATGACTAAAATATTTACACATTTTATAAATTGCCTGAGAGAATCACATTTTACAAATTGACGGTAATATATACACGCTTACAAAGGAAAAGACCTGTGACAACAACGTCTATCGCGCATTGAAGAATTTCCCAACCAAGACGTAGAGAAACAAGAACGAATCGGTTCAAATGAAGGAAAACAAAATGCAGATATCATAATTACAACCTACCAAATTTATGTGTATAAGGTTTAGGCAGCTTCCTTGTTCGAAGAATGTATCCGTGAATATCCACACAAAGGAACAATATCCCACTCGTCTGCAGCTGTACAAAGAAACTTATTCGATGTCATGTGTCAAATATTTTAAAAGATATATATCGTTTCGGGATATTATAACCCGTGTTCGTTTCTCAACTGATCGCTTGGATTGTTTCAGGTGTTTTACATAAGTGTCAAGTCTCAGTGGTCGGCTGAGAAAGCCCACGTGACAACTATTTTCATAGCGTCCACGGTTCCTAAAAATTCCATTGAGTGATAGATAACAATGATCAATCAATCAACGTATTATCAGTTAACCCTTTGAACAAAGTATGTTGTTTTTACATCGGCACTTCGCGCCATGATATGAGTGTATTCCCTTTGTTTTAGTAAACCTAGACATGTAAACACTCACTTTTGACATATCCACTGTGCAAGATAACAGTGATTAATCAATCAACGTATTTTCTGTTAATCCTTTGATGACTAGGAACGATCCGTTGATTTACAAAAAAAAGTAAATCAACTGATCATTCATCTCTTGCTGGGCTGCCACGTGCATATTACATAACACACATTTCACCTCACTTCAAACCTGGATTTTGATTGAATAATTACCCCAGACACAATAAATGCCAAATGGGAACCTTTGTCAGGTAATATAAGTGGTGCTACCACTAATTGTACCTGTAATAAATTCATTAACTGAGCATCAAGTGAATGACGACAAATACACAAGTGTAGGGTTATACGAGAAAACGTGGATGACAACAAGGGAGTAGTAATCGTAGTATCGACGCAAGCCAAAATCCGAAAATGCTTTCACTGCATGGATACTGTTTTTAGTATTAAACTATAACCATCTGGGGTATTTCCAAATGAGTCTGTTTGTTTAGGCTGAAGAAATGAATTAACATGCGCCCTTTGTCGAAATCTTTATAGATCACAGTTAACCAATCAGTGTTCAAAAATGCGTAAAACAAGTATTGCCTCCAGCCTCCAAGTTTATTAAGCTGTCCTTGCAGACGGTACCCCAGTCTCTGGTCACGCTCAGTTGCGTTGCGTATCATCCGGGTACTCACGGGGGGAAAACAATAACAAAGGCAACAACCAGTCCGTTAGATCAGTGCCCCTTTAAAGTTAAATGCTTTGGATTGCACCAGGAGTTATAATTCAACTGAATACTATGTAATTTTAGAATTATCTGCCTGACAATCAGGCAGATTTAGAAAAAATTCCTGAAGCCTGACAGAAAAGTAACCAGCCACGACAGGCAGGCAGTTATGGTTATTTCGGACACTGATTGTGTGGGTATATGAGTATTGGTGAAAATACCAGAACTTAATTGCTCACACATGTATGTTCAGTCACAGAGGTGGTCGTTAAGTTCTGCTTGATTGTTTCAGATACAACATAAATTATTAAACAGTAAAGGAAGTGTGTAGATGTGGTAATGGAGAGAGTACAACAGGGGGTGGCTGTCTACGAGATGTGTCTACTGTATGCAACCATCAACTTGAAAAGTTAGATAAAGATCGATGCATTTCTACTCATGCTTTTTATACCAAGTGGCACACCAAATATAAATGTTATCACCTTTCAGCTGTTGTTGGATATTTCATCATCATAACATAGGGGACATGGGTACATAGCTGATGGTTAGACATTGCATAAATTATTGTAATCACATTTATAATCCTTCCCTAATCCTGATGGAATCAAGCCAACAGGGAGGAGCCTTGTCATGGGCACTCAATTCTGGCAAAAACAATGAAAGTTTTTTGAAGCGTATTGACTTTTTGTAGGCTAATTAATGAAAATGTGACATATGTCATGGCTAGTTTAGAAAGCATGGGTAAAACTTCAGCCCGTATCCCCCTTAAAATTATATATGATTAAAAGGATTGGGCGGCAATACATACATATTTTGGCGGGGGATACGGGCAGAAGTACGTCCATGCATCTATCATGACCACAGTTCTTGTATCACAAAATGTACCATGTAGCCGATAAACATACGGATGACCCCAGTCACTGATAGGCCTGCATCGTGTCGACTGAATCACGATTTCGTGAAGGTGGCTTATCATGTTCATTGTTATGAACGATCACGATTGTTTTCACAATCACGTGATGGCAACAATAAATATATACGGCCCATATATACTTCATGCAAAGTCGCTAACAACAGGTATACAACATTAAATAACTTACATCATGTATGGTAAACACGTCAACATTTCAGTTTGAAATCCCCACTTTCAATAAAAGAAGCCATTTCATTGGTCGAAAAAATCAGCGCCATCTGTTTGGCATTTTGGAAAAACCCAAGAGTTGCGTCCCTTTGATTTCTCTTTGATCGAATACTTTTCAAGTGTTCGCCATAAAGAGTTCTGTTGTGTGAGTTACGACTTCATATCTGGTAGAACCTAGTTTTTATATTTACCGCACTTTCAGTTTGCGTGAAAGTAAAGATGCGTCACACAGTTATGTATGGCTTTAGAATGGCACTCCCGGGTGAATCGTGGACGGTCCATTTATTAGGTTGCTTATTTGTTGTTTAACGCAGCACTCAGCAATATTCTAGCTATATATATGACGGCGGTCTGTAAATAGTCGAGTCTGGACCAGACAATCCAGTGATTTACATCATGAGCATCGATCCACGCAATTGGTATCGCTGACATCAACCAAGTCAGCGAGCCTGACCACCCGATCCCGTTAGTCGCCTTTTACGGCAAACATGGGTTGCTGAATACCTATTTTACCCCGGATCTTCACGGGTCACATTTATTAGCCCTCCAAAGTCAGTTGAAGTTCATGGTTCGTGGTATATAAGAAATAAATGTAGGTCAAATGTGTCTAAGAACAGAATATATGTGGTGGTAGCTACACTGGTGGTCCCAATGTCCTGTCAGTGATAATAGAAGTCTACCTCTCTCGTTGCCTACAGCTAATAGGAAATATATTTCAGTGCGCAGCAGAAATGCATGCATGTAAAACTATATTTTTTTAAATATCGATTTTTCTGCATTTCAAAGGTGTTTAAGAATTGGAAACACCCCCCGCCCCCCTACACGTTCATGTACACGTTACTGGGGGTTACCGTTATGTTCAATCATGTTATATCATCAAATGACTGTACAGTTGTGCTTTGAGTGAGTGAGTCAGTATGATTGTACGCCGCTTTCATCCGCATTCCAGCAATATCACGGCGGGGGGCACCAGACAGGCTTCGCACACGGTACCCATGTGGGGAATGGGACCCGGGTCTTCGAACGAACGCTTTAACCTCTAATTTAGGATGGCTTACCAATATCCCCTGTATACGAGTTTTGAAGAAACGTATTCCAAATTAGTGTGTCTCCATAAAGGGCCTTTTAATATTCTGGTGGGAGTTGGCGGTGTTTTCTTTTAAACAAATAAGTTGCTCCAACACAAATGAGAGAAAAAAAACTAATTTGTCCTCGGCTTTAACGCAACTTGAAACGGTGACTGAAGGTACTGCGAGAATAGTGCATTACGAGTACTAATGGAAACCTACCAAGGACAACCAAAACGTATGACTTATATCACTCGCCACAAATAAGTAACTATAACCAGTGCAGTCTCTGAAGCCAGAGTCGACGACAAGGTGAATTATATAGATCCCAGTTACACTTGTCAGCCTTCTTGACATATAATTAATCCATTAACGTTTTTGTTACTTTCTTAATGCCGAGAATCATACGAACTGTACGCGATTAGTGGTTTATGTTGGTACTTGTTCGATATCTTCCCGTGTTTGTGACGAATTCCACCGGTGGGGCAGGATACTCGCACCTGGTATCATCACGATTTGTTAGTGATTCATGGACACATAGATACTCTCACCTGGTATCATCAAGATTTGTTAGTGATTCATGGACACATAGATACTCTCACCTGGTATCATCACGATTTGTTAGTGATTCATGGACACAATAATACTCTCACCTGGAAACATCACGATTTGTTAGTGATTCATGGACACATAGATACTCGCACCTGGTATCATCACGATTTGTTAGTGATTCATGGACACATAGATACTCTCACCTGGTATCATCACGATTTGTTAGTGATTCATGGACACATAGATACTCGCACCTGGTAACATCACGATTTGTTAGTGATTCATGGACACATAGATACTCTCACCTGGTATCATCACGATTTGTTAGTGATTCATGGACACGCAGATACTCTCACCTGGTAACATCACGATTTGTTAGTGATTCATGGACACATAGATACTCGCACCTGGTATCATCACGATTTGTTAGTGATTCATGGACACATAGATAGTCCCACCTGGTATCATCACGATTTGTTAGTGATTCATGGACACATAGATACTCCCACCTGGTAACATCACGATTTGTTAGTGATTCATGGACACGTAGATACTCTCACCTGGTATCATCACGATTTGTTAGTGATTCATGGACACATAGATAGTCCCACCTGGTAACATCACGATTTGTTAGTGATTCATGGACACATAGATACTCTCACCTGGTATCATCACGATTTGTTAGTGATTCATGGACACGCAGATACTCGCACCTGGTATCATCATGATTTGTTAGTGATTCATGGACACGTAGATACTCTCACCTGGTATCATCATGATTTGTTAGTGATTCATGGACACATAGATACTCGCACCTGGTATCATCACGATTTGTTAGTGATTCATGGACACGCAGATAATCTCACCTGGTAACATCACGATTTGTTAGTGATTCATGGACACACAGATACTCTCACCTGGTATCATCACGATTTGTTAGTGATTCATGGACACACAGATAATCTCACCCGAGTCTTGATATGAAATATATACTACCCAAAAGAAGTTAAAGATCACCCGATTCTTTCATATTGGTAATGTTAATCTGTCATGGCATGAGTGATTAACTATTTTAATATGAAAGAATCAGGTGATCCTTAACTTCTTTTGAGTAGTATATATCAACACGAGTTGGTAAAAGTGGAAAAACTCCGAGGCTTGTCGTGAACACCTGGTATCATCACTATTGGACAGTGATTCATGGACACATGCTCATTACATGGTCGGCAATGTTCAACTGACTCGATCTGCCCTCATCACCCCCCTTTCAATAAACTGACTGCAGATGAGGAATAATATATCTACATCTACATCTAGATGAGGCATCTGTACTAGCCTCCCTCTGTTGGTGTAAGATTTCACTATAACGCGATTCCTTCTATGCGAGGCTTGGATCTTATATATAACCCTTGTATGTAACTACCCGTATGGTGACCCTTTTGAGATAATAGCGGATTTCATTTTGAACTTTCAGCAACTTTCAGTTCATGCTATGCAAGATAAAAAGAAACAGTTCACAACGAGCACCACACAAATCATGCTATATTACCTATCTCTTATGCTAGTGTTGTCCTGTGAAGATCCGGGTTAGACTAGGTCTTCACGAGCACATGCTTGCCTTATAAAGTGACCATACGTGCATATATGCTTGATGGTAAGGGGGCGGTCGGGTAGCCTAGTGGTTAAAGCGTTCGCACGTCACGCCGAAGACCCGCGTTCGATTCCCGACATGGGTACAGTGCGTGAAGCCCATTTCTGGTGTCCCCCGCCGTGATATTGCTGGAATATTGCTAAAAGCGGCGTAAAACTCACTCACTTGATCGTAAGAGGCGACTAACGACATTGCGTGGTTAGACTCACTGACTTTGGTGATGCATGTGATCGTATAGTCTGTAGGGTGGGTGATTTAACTGTACAGCCCAGACTTAGCCTCCAGTGACTATTTCCTGTTCCGGCAAATGAAATCTGCTCTACGTGGAAGAAGACGCTTCCAGGATGACGAGGACATAAAGGCTGCCACAGAGGCGTGGTTAGAGGGCCAATCTGCGGATTTCTATTAAAGTGGTATTAAAAGCTTGAAGGACAAAATGGAATAAGTGTATTGAGGTGAATGGAGATTATATCGAAAAATATAAGTGCAAAAAATATTCTGCGACTTCTGCGATTCTGCGGTCTTATATTGAAGTTGCAAACCTTATTGAACGCCCCTCGTACGATAAGGGGGGCACGGGTGGCCCAGTCGTCTGAGGCGCCGTGATTCGCTGTGGAGAGTTGCGTCCCTTAGGCACGCCAGAAACCTATGATTGTGGGTTCGAATCCCGGTTCGCCCCGATTATGTTTCTAGGTTTGGCTTAACGCCGCTTTTAACAGTATTCCAGTTATATCGCGGCGTGTCAGCTTAATGTGGAAGGAAAGCCCGAAGTGATGCAAGTCTCAGACGTTTACCACTTCGGTGAAACCCACGAGCACAGGTTGGGTGCTGACAAACCTAGAAACGTAATCGGGGCAAACCGGGATTAGAACCTACAATCAGGTTTCTGGGGTGCCCAAGGGACGCAACTCTGCACAGCGAATCGCGGCGCCTTAAACGACTGGGCCAACCGTGCCCCCAAGTATACTCTTCAAAACAAGAAACGCAAAGCCAGATTTGTGTGAGGTAGGAAAATACATGTATACGTAGGATCGGTACAAGGTATTGAACCAAAATGTGGAGAAAACACTTGGTGATTGTAGTCTTCTCAGATATCGGTACATAGGAAAAGTCCAAGGTGAAGGTCAGCTACCATCAATAACGCGTATGTCCCCCGTTAGAATCGATAGTGGCCTGACATCTCCTACCCATGGAAGAGACGAGTATGCGAATCACATTCTGGGGAATGGTAGCCAACTCGGCAACGCAAAAGCCATCTGCTGCAACGTCTGGGGTTGTGGTTGATGTCGGCGTATATCTGTCTATCCAATTCACCCCACAGGTGCTCTAGCGGGTTCAAATCCGGGGATCTGGAGGCCCAGGGGAGAACATGAACGTTGTTGTTGTGTAGACAGGCTGTATGCGGTCGTGCGTTGTCCTGCTGGATTCACCGTTGCCGTTGGCTGCAATTGGGAGGACGTGTGGTTGGAGAATTTCGTTGATGTATCGTTGAGCCGTAAGATTGCCGTGGATATCGACCAAACCTATATATATTATGGCCTGATGAGACTCGTACGTGGTACGAGTTTAAAGCGCTAGCCTATTAAAACTGTGTTAAATCTTACTCCACCTATTTAATTATTACTATATATATATATATATATATATATATATATATATATATATATATATGTAGATATATATATAGAGATAGATATATATATATAGAGATAGATATATATATATATATATATATATATATATATATATATATATATATATATATATATATATATATATATGAGAGTTATCCACCCACATCATGACGATACTCCCCCAAACCTGTCCACGTCCTGTACGCAGTTTCCGGCGTAACGTTCTCCCGGACGTCTGTAGACCCGTGCTCTTCCATCCCATCGACGGAGGAGAAATCTTGACGAATTTCTCCTCCGCTGAACCAGACATCTCTCAATCGCAGTTGATGCCATACCCTGTGTTGACGACACCAATGCAGTCGTTGTTGACGATGTTGTCGACTCAATATGACGCATCAAACAGCACGTCTTGCTCGTTGACCAGGCTATGGTATGGTTTCAACAGCATGACTCAACACGTGATCGGCCAAGGTCGGGACGACCTAGAGTAACCACCCCCGCCCAAGATCGCTACATCCGACTGCGCCACCTACGTGAAAGAACGACCACAGACACCTCAACCGCATCCCAAATACCCGGACTGCGCAAAATCTCTGACCAGACCGTTCAAAACCGTTTAAGAGCAGCAGGTCTACGAGCAAGACGTGCTGTTTGATGCGTCATATTGAGTCGACAACATCGTCAACAACGACTGCATTGGTGTCGTCAACACAGGGTATGGCCTCAACTGCGATTGAGAGATGTCTGCTTCAGCGGAGGAGAAATTCGTCAAGATATCTTACGGCTCAACGATACATCAACGAAATTCTCCAACCATACGTCCTCCCAATTGCAGCCAACCGCAACGGTGTATTCCAGCAGGACAACGCAGGACCGCATACAGCCTGTCTACACAACAACAACGTTCATGTTCTCCCCACGGCCGCCAGATCCCCGGATTTGAACCCGCTAAAGCACCAGTGGGATGAATTGGATAGACAGATATACGCCGACATCAACCACAACCCCAGACGTTGCAGCAGATGGCTTTTGCGTTGCCGAGTTGGCTACCATTCCCAAGGATGTGATTCGCATACTCGTCTCTTCCATGGGTAGATGTCAGGCCACTATCGATTCTAACGGGGGACATACGCGTTATTGATGGTAGCTGACCTTCACCTTGGACTTTTCCTATGTACCGATATCTGAGAAGACTACAATCACCAAGTGTTTTCTCCACATTTTGGCTCAATACCTTGTACCGATCCTACGTATAAATGTATTTTCCTACCTCACACAAATCTGGCTTTGCGTTTCTTGTTTTGAAGTGTATACTTGGGGGGTACGGTTGGCCCAGTCGATAAGCTGTGCAGAGTTGCGTCCTTTGGGCACGCCAGAAACCTGATTGTGGGTTCGAATCCCGGTTGCCCCGATTACGTTTCTAGGTTTGTCAGCACCACACCCGTGCTCGTAGGTTTCACCGAAGTGGTAAACGTCTGAGACTTGCATAACTTCGGGCTTTCCTCCCACATTAAGCTGACACGCCGCGATATAACTGGAATACTGTTAAAAGCGGCGTTAAACCCAACTCACTCACTGAAGAGTATACTTAATTGTGAAAGACTGAGATTTGGACTACGGATAAATAATTTCTCAAATGTATCACTAGTATTGTAGGCATAAAATGATAGATAAAATAATAGTAATTAGCAACTCATTAGGACACTTATAGTAATTATATAAATAAACAAGATGAGGGGCTAACAGAGTAAGATATAGGTATAACACATAGGAAGATATAGAGTGGGCAGGCGACATAGGAATTGAGGAGCACAGGAGACATACTGGGCCACTAATAACCAGGGGTGACAGTAGTAGGTCGAGGATCGGAGTGCTAGAGCAAAACAATAAAGGTAACATAGCAAGGGAATATAAACTAGATTGAGAGAGGAAACGTAGTGGAAATTGCCCTCGGATGCATATATGGTCCGGGGGGGGGGGGGGGGGGGGGGGGGATAGTACAGACTCCGGGAGTCAAGGCGGTCACATTACCACAAGTCCTAAAAAGAACCTAGAGATTAGACAAGAGTGCGATGCCTCCCAAGAGAAGAGCAACCGTCAACCATGCACAAGCTGGTGAGGGGAGCCAAGCAGCCCAGGACAACCAGAAGACAAACCCCTGGAGTACACATTGTACAGGAGGCAACAGCTGATGGTGAGTCTGCCAATTACGGCAATATCGGAGGTGGCAACAGAATTAACGTACAATCGGCGCAGCTTGTAAATGCCGCACAGGCTGCCAACTCGGCTACCCAGGTACACGAGCAACTTGGAAAAATACTCCAGTTGCTGGAACATTCAGCGCCTGGCCCGGTTAGCGCAATCCAACAGGTAAGGCGTGGTTTTAGTTCTCCCGCCATTTCGCCCAACATAGGGAGAATCCCCGATGCCCTCAACGAGGCCGACGGTGACGCGGCTTGGCCAGCCAATCACAACGCAGGATACGGGGATTCCCTTTCTTTCCGTGCGGACGGGATAGACGCGCACGTCAAACAACAGGTGAGGGAAAAAATCTGGCGTGGCGAGTTTGTCGACCTCGGCACAATCCCACCAAACACCGAGGGAAGTCACGAGGACGGTACGATTACCATGGCGTACGACTCCTCAGGTAAGGTAATTTTTAAACCAATTAAGCACGGGGAGTTGTGGCAGAAGTACATGGTAACACAGCCGGTACGACAACCAGAATCAGGCGGACGGGGCGCAATGACACGCGTACAGGGGGACATCGCCAGTCAGGTATGCTGGGATTTCAATAAATTTGGCTGTAGCAGGGTCAACTGTTAGTACACTCACAAATGCGGTAAGTGTGGCAAACATTCCCATAGCTCTAGGACCTGCTTTCAAGGGAATGGGGTCCAACCGACCCCATACAAGCCCAATCAGCCTTTTCCTAACAGAAAACAACCCGGCAAGGCAGGTAAATTCAATGGCCCCTTCCCCCGTGGACCTCAATGAAATGGCACCTTGGTTACGCCAATATGCTAGGGTCAATTACAGAGATGCAAATTATTTATGGGTAGGTTTTAGCTTTGGCTTTAAGCTCGAGTTCCAGGGAAGCCGCACGGGTCGCCTGGCACGAAACTTGCGATCAGCCACGCACCAAGACATGGCAGGCTACGTGAAACAAAAACTACAAAAGGAAGTCGACCTTGGCAGGATGGCGGGCCCCTTCAAGGACACCCCCCTAGACAACCTCCTAGACAACCTCCAAGTATCCCCAATAGGCCTGGTGCCCAATAAGCAGCCAGGATATGGTCAGCACCTGGGTAAGCATGCGGAGGAATTCCGTCTAATTCACCATCTATCCTATCCCAGGGGTAAATCTATAAATGACTTCATAGACACAGAGGCCTGCTCCGTTGTGTACGCCAGATTTGATGAAGCTACCCATATGGTTCAACAACTGGGAAAGGGAGCACTACTAGCAAAATTCGACATTCAGTCGGCCTTTAGAATTATACCAGTCCACCCATCCGATTTCGAGCTGCTAGGCATCAGATTCGAAGGTGAGTTCTATTTCGATAAATGCTTACCATTTGGCTGCTCCATATCTTGCGCCATATTTGAAACATTTAGTACCTTCTTGCAATGGTGCATGCAATCGCATCTTCCAACGCGTCCGATCATGCATTACCTGGACGACTTCCTAACGGGGGGCACAGCAGGCACCAGCCACTGCTCAGACAACCTCAACGGATGCGTGAATACACTTGAACAGCTTGGGGTTCCTATTGCGCACGACAAGACGGTGGGCCCCACAACCAAACTGACATTCCTAGGGCTGGAAATCGACACCATTGCAATGCAGATCAGAATCCCAGAGCCCAAGATCAAGGAGGCAACAAGGGAAATCCATGACATCCTGTCAACAGGTAACATCAAGGTCACAAAAAGGGCCCTTCAGTCCCTCATAGGCAAGCTTAACTTTATGTGCAGGGCTATACCAATGGCAAGGGCATTCAGCCGCAGGCTAATCAATCTGCTTAGCAAAGGTAAGCAACCATTTCACCACATTAGGATTACCAGCTGGGTCAAGGAAGACCTATAAATGTGGTTAACATTTCTTACGAGTTACAACGGCAATTCAGTGTTTCAGGACCAACTATGGGTGGACAGCGATTTCCTCCAGCTGTTTTCAGACGCAGCGGGCGGCGCCGGCTTTGGGGCCTACATGCAGGGCAAATGGTTTAACGGCGCATGGCCAACCAAGTGGGTGACGGATGGAACTACACGGGACTTGACGCTCCTGGAGCTGTTCCCCATCACACTGGCCATCCAAATCTGGGGCAAGCAAGTCGCAAACAAAAAGGTCCTCTTTTACTGCGACAACCAAGCCGTCGTAACAATAATCAACAAGCAGTCAACCAATGCCCCCAGAGTGATGAGCCTACTACGTCGCCTAATCCTGCAGTACCTCCGATATAATATTATGTTTAAGGCAAAGTATGTATGTTCCACTGCTAACACTATTGCCGATGCTCTCTCGAGGTTTCAGCTCAAACGCTTCCGAGAGGCAGCACCATCCGCGGACCAGAACCCCTCACCTATCCCGTGCAACATATGGCTGATCTGAGGCAGGAAGCCGGCAGACTCCTACAACAATCTCTGTCTACTAATACATGGGCCACTTACCAAACAGGCATCAATGCCTTGCACCAGTTCCGCACACCAGCTACAAGAGGTGTGGCCAGTCCCGCTGGATCAGGTCGTAAACTTTATTGCTTATCTGTCAGTCACTCACCACTCCCCCAACACAGTCAAGACTTACATTGCAGCGCTGTCTTCACACCACAAATTCCACGGGCTCACCGACTGTACAAACCATTTCCTGGTAGGCAAGATTGTAACTGGCTTACACAAATCAGCGGGCCGTCCAGACACCAGAAAACCGATCACTGCAGATCTGCTGCAGGTAGTAACCAACAATCTGCCTCACGTATGCTCATCAGCATACGAAGCCAGGCTGTTCAAGGCAGTCTACTGCACAGCCTTCTTCGGTTTCTTTAGGGTTAGCGAACTGGTCCAAACTGGACCCTCAAAAACAGGTTGCGCCATCCAGAATCTAAGCTTCGCGGGCAACCCCCAGCAGCTTGCAATCCATTTACCACACTCAAAGTCCGATCAGTACAGGATGGGGACAACAGTTACAATGTCACCTATACCAGGTAATCCGCTATGTCCGGTAGTCGCCATCAAGCACTACCTGGAGGCGCGCCCCTCCGGCCCACAACATGCATTCGTTCACTTCGACCATTCCCCCATTACAAGGTACCAATTCCAGGCACTCCTAAAAAAGGCCTTAGCACACAGCAACATAAACACGGCCTGCTATTCTTCGCACTCCTTCCGCATTGGGGCAGCCACATCAGCAGCCATGAACGGGGTGCCCGAACACCTCATACAACAATACGGCAGGTGAAAATCAGATTGCTACAATGCTTACATACGCCTACCAACAAATTCAATGTTGCACAACTAATTCAAATAGTCTTTCATGGTACTTACTACACTTCTTATTGTTTACAGTTTGGATGGTGGGATCCAGCTACATGGCCAGGGCACGGCAGTACTTGCTCCTGAAGGGCACCAGTCTGAACCAACCGAGGATGCTATGGCTGGCACGAGGGGGGATGAGGTGGAAGGAGCTGGACACCATTCTGGATGCACAGGTCAAGGCGACACGGCGCAGCCCCAGAGCCCTCATCATTCACCTGGGCTCCAACGACCTGTGCTCGGTCAAGGGCAGCCAACTCTACCTTGACATGGTGGCATCAATCCTTCGGATACAACTCCAGCTTCCTGACACCAGGATCATCGTATCCTCAATGCTGCCCAGGCGCTACTGGCACGATGCCAGGGACCCACTAAAGATCGAGGGGATGCGGAAGAATATCAACCGCCGACTGGCCAACCGAGTCAAAGAGCTCGGCGGTACAATGGTGCCACATCCCCAGATCCTGGCATCAGACAAGACATGGTACGCCTGGGAGGGCGTCCACCTCAGCGACAAAGGACTGTGTGTGTTTACGGACAATTTATTGCATGCCCTGGCGCTCGTTTTGCGCCAGTAAGGATATTATCTCCACAGGTTAGTGTTTCCTTTCCGTACATAGGCAAGCCGGGCAACAATGCTATCTCCGCGTATCGCGTGGCCGTGGGTGTGGGGTAGCACTCTGGTGCTTTGTGGCGGGGTTCTTGTGGGCTACACTGCTAGTAACAAATTAACTTGCTTCCAAATTAATACTCGTGCTTAAGGCTACCTGCTTTTCAGCGGGAACCTTTCCGGGGTTACCTGCTTCTCAGTGGGAACCTTGTCTTTCCCGACTTTTCAGCCGGGGAATCGTAAAATAACATACGTTGGGGCAAACAATTGCCACGTATATGGGCCCGGCGGCGGAAGTCGTCTTGTCAAGCGGTAGCTGACAGTTGGGTCCGCGGCGGGGGCCGCACAATGGTTTTGCTAATGGGGCCGGGCGGTGTGATCTGCTTTGGCCGGCTACCTGGGGCCGGGCAGCGGTAGTCTGACTTAGGCCAGCAGCGTGGAGCTGCTTTTGGCAGCGTGGGAGTTGCCAAGCAATGGTAGCGTTTAAATATGCTACCGTGGGGGCCGGACAGCGGTAGCAGTCCCAGGCCAGCAGCGCTAGCTGCAATCGCCGTCGGCCACACGCGTGGCCATGGCAACGGTAGCATTTTGGTATACACAATTAGCAGCTAAGTAGCCCACTAGTACCTGCACACCCTCGGCCATTTAACCCAACCTCATCTTCTGTTTTTATTATAGGCACGGGCACCCACGGCTCGGTGGCCCGTGCCTCTCCTTGGCATATCGCGGGATAAAGTGGGTTGACCAACAACACTAGAGTGAATAAAAGCTGTTGAACGAAGATCACTCTTTGTGGTTGTTGGAGTAACTACGGTAACAGGTTCAAGGCCCTCGGGTACTGACATTGTACCTCTCCCTCATCCCTGAGCGTCAGCACTAAGAACGAGGGGATTACCGTAGTTAGGTCAAGGAGGTACTCGAATTGCCACCCTGGTAATTAACAACAATTAGGTCAATTATACTGTTAGGTCTATGTATAGATTTAGGGCTCAGTCTCCAAAGGAGTAATACTATTTAGTTATTTCAGATTTATTGTTCACAGACTGACCATATGGGATTGAACAGAAGTGTCTTTGTGTACTTGTAAGGCCTTTATTACGGACACTAGTAGGCACTGACCACAAACCCATGTGACACTTTGGGTGGCGCTCATGACGACATGTCGCACATAACAACGTCCCGAGCAAAATCCATCAACATCGTAACTAAAATGGCCAACGAAAGAAAACACCAAAGAAGTAAAGGCGAGACTGAATCTCAGCAAGCAGGACTAGGACAGGCAAGGACTAGCGAGTAAGGCCTACGCGCTTCGCAACACACATCAAGCCCAGGAAGCCCTAATGGTTAAAGCGTTCATTCCTCATGCCGAAGACCCGGGTTCGATTCCCGACATGGGTACACCGTGTGAAGTCCATTTCTGGTGTCCCCCACCGTGATATTGCTGGAATATTGCTAAAGGCGTCGTAAAACCATACTCACTCACTCACTCACACGCGAGTTACCTCCCTTCCTTGGCCTAGTCAGGTCAGTTGATGGCTATATTAACACTCCCAATTCTGGCCATGGTAATGTTGAATGATTTTAAATACCCATGATGGATATAGCTTGTGGAAACGCTACACTAGGTAAGGATGTCATCTGTGGGATGACTCCACGCCCTGCCACATTTTCATACAATCTGTTTTCCCCACAAACATTAAAAACATTCAATTCAGTCCAGTCATGGATGAATCAATGTATGATATAAATAACAAGCTTTACAACAATAGGAGTCTGTTTATTTTGGAAAACACTGAATATAGGTGACAAAACCAGCATAGTATCAGCAAATTGCAGGGGCCTAGCAGATAAAACAAAACGTAAAGAAGTAATGAACCTATGTAATGGCGAAAGAAGAAATTTTCTATAATATTTATGTCTACAAGACATTCATATTTCTAAAGAAGATAAAACAATAGTTCAAAATGAATGGGGACAAATAATGAGAATAAGTCAAATGCAAGAGCAGTTGCCATTTTGTTTTGTTACACTTTAGAAATAAAAATCCATAGATTTAAACGATATGATAGCAGATAGCACAATAGCGGGCATAAGGTGAACTCTAACTTATATTCATTGGCCATATCAAGCTGAACCTGCTTTTTACAACACTTTATTCAATAATATTGACGAATTTGAAAACGAATCACTGGTTATATGAGGAAATTGGACCTTGGTTCTCAATCTGCTGTCGATTTGGAAAATTATAATCATATCAACAATCCCAAACCAAGAAAGTTAGTATTTGAAAAAACAGAAAGCGTTGATCTAATTGATGTTTGCAGAGACAAAAATCAAGATGCAAAGAAAAACACATGGTGGAAGAAAAGGCCAAAACAGCAAGCTAGACTTGACTTCATTTGGACATTTAATACTCGTATACATGAAAACCAACCTGGCTTTATCCCTGGGAAATGTATTAGCGAAAACATACCACTACTATATGATATCTTGTTTGAAACAGAATTACAAAATAAGCCTGGTTTACTATTACTTACAGACTTTGAAAAAGCTTTTGATACCGTTTTAAAACAATTTACCATGTTGACACTGGAAAAGTTTGCCTTTGGACCTAACTTATGAAAATGGATATACATACTTATAAATAATACTTCATCTTGCATCATACAAAATGGATACCTATCTTCATTCTTCTATAACGAAAGGGGGTGTAGACAAGGACACCCATTGCCTCCATATCTATTCCTTCTCGTTGCAGAAACTTTGAGAACAATGATTCGTGATACGATTGCAATAAACAGTATCAAACTAAATAATGTGAAACAAACTCGGACAATATGCTGATGATACAGAAATATTTCTAGATGGGACTGATGAAAGTTTAAGTACAGCGATTGATGCCCAAAATGTTATTTTATAAAATGTCTGGATTAAAAAATTAAAATTGAAAAAACAAAAGCATTATAGATAGGGTCAATGACAGGCTGAGACATCAAATTATGGTAGGATCTGAAACTTGACTGGAACAGTGGGGACTTTGCAATGCAGTAAACTACATTTATAATGAACATGCTTACAACGAACTGGCGGATATAACGAACTATTTCTCGCTCCAATCCATTGGTTATATGTACGCTGTACATATGCTTATAATGAAATACGGTTATACAAATTAAAATTTGAGGGAATTTGAGGAAAAGAAATGTAACATTGATAGGTAAAATTACTGTTGTCAAAACCTTGGCCCTGTCAACCTAAGTACATATATTCCCCTCTCGTCCAAACCCTCCAAGTGAATTTATTGATTAACAAAATATTGTACAGAGTCATCTGGAATGATAAGAAGGACAAAATATAATGAACAATATCAATTAGAAAATATGGCCAAGGTGGACTGTGAATGATAGAGGTAAGGTTTTTTTATAATTTCTCAAAAACTGTCAATTCTTAAAAAATATCTTCAAAACAAAAACTGTTATAACCCTAGCATCTTTCCACTGAAACACATGTTCCTACTTGGGGACAATATCGAAAACTGTATACACTTAGCTAACCCTTACTGGAGAGATGTTTTGGCTGCCTGGGGAACATTGTAAAGACACAAAAATAACATCACAAACATTGGAGAGGTACTATCAGAACCTCTTTGGTGTAACCTTTAGTTTTAAAAAAAAGATTTCATTATAATGAAGATGATATATTGCCCTGTAATGGACTTAAAAGGAAATAGGCACATTGCTTGACTATTACCGGGTTGAAACATACCAAAATCCTGGAAAGAAGCTATTAGAAATAATCACATTAACCTATATAATTAATATTTAAACACAATTTTGATGGACTTACTTGTAGCGCCTAAAGGCTCAAGATATTTTTATGATAACATTGTAACTACAGCAAATCCCACAACAGTATGGGATGGGATACTATTCTTGACTTAGATATATCATGGAAGGATGTTTTTATCAGATACAGAGAATGTACAATATATGTAAAATTACTTGATTTTCAATATAAATTTATTCATCGCATCATCTATACAAAGAAAGAATTGTTTAAAATGAAAATTCTCGATGATGATCTATGCTCATTTTGTGAAACTGATACTGAATTCTTACTTCATGTATATTGGGATTGTAAGCATGTTAAAGAGTTTTGGGCCAAAGCAGAATTATTTTCTGAATGCAAAATGTTCAAAACAATTCACATTTACAAAATGCTCTGTTTTACTTGGGTAAACACTCTAACATTCTGTTAAATCACATACTTGCATGCAAATAAATATATAAATGTATCAAGTATTAAGAAAAACAAGT